GTTGTATTTGGATGCCATGAATGACAGGAATTCTTATCATTCTTCACTTTGCTGCCTTCAAATTTGCACCAGCAAAAATAAATGATCACCGGATGAAAGGTGGCAGTGGGTCAAGTTCAGCCTGCTCCCCATCATCTACCCCCTTTGGAGTGATCACAGCCCCCTAAAGAGTAAAAAGGGGCCATTTTAGTCCACTGGTAGTACAACTAGAGTTGGAACAGAGTTAAGATCATTGTTGCTTAATGTCACCTGTCAACAAGTGACTATTTCTCTTTCCTGCTGTTGGGTGAATACAGGCAATTTCAAAGTTAATTTTACCCATTGTGTTGTCCAGTTTTGATAGAAATTTCAAAACCAGTTTCTCCTTGGGGCTTGATGTGGTTATTCTGCCAATCACAATTAATATTGAAAGAGAGTGAAATTGGTGCACTAAGGTATGCAATTATTTTGATTGTAGTTCATTTAAGAGCTCCTAGTCCTTACTTGCATTGAATTGAAAGACTTCATTGAATGACACAAGTAGATCAGGGGTTTGGCAATACAGTGCAAAAAATACTGGATGACTTCCCATCAATGGAGCAATTTAGAGCCTCCAAAGCTAGATTTCTCAGCAAAATTATACTTTCATGTCTAAATCAACATCTAAAAGGGTCCCACTGAAACCCCTATGCTTGAACACAGGTTCAGGTGGGCAACTTCCAAGAAATTGTATATGTGTTTATGAATTGAAGGGCCAACTCCCAAGTCCTGTCATAGATTTGGAAAAAGGATTCCCAGTACTGTTAACCAACATTTGTTGGGAGGCATTGGCACTTTTGAGCCTACAGAATGTCAAAAAAATACCTTAGGACCTTGAATTAACACTCAAGACAGATACCAAAAGTAAGAAATTTATTTCAGAGTGGTGTAAACCCAGGAAGGCTTGTCCAAAAAAATTCACTCTACACAGAAAAGAAATGAACCACTGGTTTACAACCTTAGTGGTTATAATTTGGAACTCTACACACCTGTGCAAGTTCAAAATCTGATCAAAGCAGGTATTGGTGTATCTGGCCAACTGGGGGGGGGCAGTGTGTTGATTATGTATTTTTTGGGCAAGGCAGGGTTGGTTTATGCCATCTGAAACTGTAATTAATCACCAGTCACGAGAAATTATTGCTAGATAAAATTGAAAAGTGACATCAGGCTAAGTCCATGATGATACCCATTACATACCTAGCTCAATTCTGCCTCATTCCCCTGTAGCACACAAATCTTTTCGGGGGAATTGTTTTGCCACTGTTTGGATGTGACCAGTATCAGCTTTTTTGTATAGGTATTGAATCAATTGGTAGCAAGTTTATAAACCCAGAAAATCTCTTTCCATGAGTAGGAACCATCACATCCTAAATTTGTTTTTCTGAAAGATTCAAATAAAATCTTGAAAAAATTCTTGCACTGTGAAAAAATCTCAAGGAACTGCTGCCAGTTGAAATGCAGAAACTCTTTTGGAAGTTGGGTTGTTACTCTATCTATTCTTAATTTGGAATTCATGAAAGTATGACAGAAGTTACATTGGGAGTAACCTGCATGTCAACTTCCACTAGGTTGGTGAGTTCTTCTCATAGTGTTGTATAATTTTATGGTGAGCTAGAATTTTTCTTGAGCTTGTTGAGGTGGGTACAGGTAGGTGGCGTAGACTATCTGTGACAGGTGAGACTAATCACTAAGATAAATGATGTTTAGATTTAGTGAGGAAAGAGAATGACAATGTGGAACCAAGTGAGCTAAATACAACTAGGTTGAACCACACCTCAGTACAAGCATCTAAACAGAGTTTTTATTAATCTGTCTCAATCTCAATTTAACATGAACTTTGAACTTGGTGAAAAGGAAGAGGGGGGGAGGTAGAAAACATTAAAATTCTAGTTTGATTAATTTAGCATGCACCATTTCAGTCAGATCCACTTTCCATAAGGTTTTTCTGTGGTTTTTGCTTCCCTCCTGTATTTTTGAATCAACATGAATTTTGCTTGTGGTGACATGTCATTTGACCTGAGTGATTTCTTCAAACCCAAGATGCCCAAAATTGAACATTATCAGATATTCAATATGTAGTCTCACAACAACAGTATAAGGGTTAAAGCATCTCAAAACTTCTAAACCTTTTCCAGATTTTGTGAGCAGTTTGGAGTTGCAGTCAGATAGAAGTGAGGGAGTATATCATATGGGGCTTGGTTAAACAACTCCCAAAAAATGGAGAGCCGAATGCCAAGCCCTGGAATTCCCAAAATTTGGGAGTCAAACCCCCAAAACATTTGACTGGTTTGGGAGTCAACTCCCTAAAAAAATTCAAAAAAAGAATCCCTGGTTGGTTCAGGAGTTGATCCTCCAAAACCAACCAGGTTTTGGGGGTCAAATAAACAAAAGTGTTGGAAATCAAACTCAAAAGACAGAGTTTCGACCTCAAAAAAAGCTAGAACTCAGGAGACAGTACATGTGGCAGTGATTGGTAAGCAGCCTTCACTATACCATGCAATAGACCATCTAGGAGAGCTAAGAGCTAACTAAAGACAAATCTATAAACTATGAACAACTCACCAATGTGACAGAACCCGCGATAGAACCTGACAACTCCACTAGCCCAAAGAGGAGTGTAAGGGATGGGAGTCCCTTCACTGTTCTTAAGGGAAAAGCTCGTCGAGAGGGGCACTAGATCAGAAAGTCTAAGACCAAACTGGGGGGGCTTGTATTTCCTGGCTCAGAGAGAATGGGGATCAGTTCTCTCTCACATACAAGTCACTATATAGAATAAGAAAGAGAACAAGAAAGAAGTGAGAATTGGAAAGCTTACCTGGCTCAGAGAGAATGGGGATCAGTTCTCTGTGGAGCCAGGTACGGATCTCAAGCAGTACTGACTATAACTACAAGGATGCTTCTCTGTGACACTTCTTGTGAAACCCAACAAGGGGAGGGGTTTTACAAGGAGGTGAGTTTGCAGCAGATAAGATATCACACAAGCGAGCTCAGAAGCTGACCTTGGTTCACCTTAAAAACAGCAGCTTGCTCGATAGACTATCATCCCCCATTGCATCAGCCGTGTCCAATAAGAAGACATTAAGCGAACTCATCTGTGAGTCTTAGAACACCAAGAACTCAATTAGATAAGTGGCTAGTAGCTAACTTAAGTTATAACTCCTTAGACACATCGCCAGCTATTGATACTTATAACAATCAGAACACAATCTCCTATCCTGAAATAAACAAAGGTAAGAAAGCACCTTGTATCACAATAGAATCAGAAAAGGAAACAAAACTAATTAAGACCTGTTGTTTGAACAGAAGCCTGCGCTCATCGCACTGATCAACATCATCTCTAACCAAAAATAAAGAAGTCCGATCTCAGACCACAAAGTAAGATCTGCTGTCTTCAACCAGCCTCAGACGTCTAGCACAGAAACTAACACAGACCTTAACTCATAACTATCAAAACAGAACATTTCATTATCCTTTCCTCTTATCTTAATCTTCTCGCCTATCAAATCTCCTTTCTCTAAGAGATAAAGCAAGAGTCTCGCTTGCTTCTAGGTACATATATATTTCTATAATATTAATCTCAACCTGTACCTAGATTTCATTCTAATGCAAATAAATCTTCTAGTTGCTTGAATTCTATCAAAAAGACCCCGCCAAAGCGGCCGGGATGATTCCTCCGCGGCTGCTGAGAGTACACTCTTGATGGCCAAGAGGATTCCTCTCAGCCATTGGTGTGTAATCTGAGAAGCCGGGAGGTGCTTCCATGGGGGTCTTTTGTTTTGTCAACCCCCAAACCCAGGTCGGTTTTGGAGGATCAAATCCTGAACCGACGGGGGGATTCTTTTTTTTAATATTTTTTTTTCTGGGGAGTTGACTCCCAAACCAGTCAAAGGTTTTGGGGGGTTTGGCTCCCAAATTTCAGGGATTCCGTGGATTGGGAGTTGGCTCTCCATTTTTTGGGAGTTGTTTAACCAAGCCCCTATCACATTTTACTGTGGAATATCTTGTGTGATCTCAATTCTATCATGACGGCCTGCTCAATTATACATTGTTTTTTCTTATGCACAAGTTGTAAAATACATGGATTTCTAAAAGATTCTCAAAGGTATACAAGTAAATCTATGGCAAGGCAAGTGCTTGTCTGGCTTGTGAAGTGCCTCTGCAGCATGGATGTCATGGTTTGTCAAGCCCTTATACCCAAAACCGCTTTGATGGATCTTTGAGTTCAAAAGGGTGCGAGGTGATCTCGATTACATAATCAGGTCTTTTCGCACCAGCAGCGCGTCCACCCCCTTTGCAAGCAAGATCGGCTGTTGACCATTTTGACCCAACTACACTCACACCCACACAGTCCCACAACAACCGATCCTCAAGAATGAAGCGACTCTTCGGATATAAAGCCCCAGCCGAAGAGCAGGACGACAACAGCAGCATCGCATCTTCCAATCAGCACCTCCAAACAACCGATCAGCAGCTCCGACGAGATCCAGGAAGGGCGCGTCATTCGGTAGCCGTCTCATCCTATCCCACTCAGACCGATCGCACTCTCGGCATCAATCGACAACCTAATCTTCCATCCTCCCGATCGCATGCCCACATCTCACGGAACTCGTTCCACCCGACCAGCCAAATCTCCAAACGATCCATCTCAGCCTCATACGTCTCCAAGGCACCTTCCCAACAACAGAGGTTCCCAGCCTCACGTGTCTCTGGCCCTTATGGACGCGGTCGCTCATTCGCCCCTCTGGCTTCTACGCCCGAGAAACCCAAGACACGGATCGAGAAAATCAAGACCAAGATCCATCAGAAGTTGGATCTCTCGAGTTATTTGGATTGGCCAGCCGATAAATGGATGGAGATCCAGGAATATTTCGAGCTGATGGATTGGGATGAACTAGGCTATACTTTCGCTCTCGGCTTGAATGGCGTCCATCTCCTCATCCGCTTTCTCTCCGGCCTCGAAAGCATGAGGCGCAGCCACATGGGCAATCAACAACTCAACAAGTCTTGGTTCTCTTTTGGCTTTGTTGAAGCAGTTAGTCACGTCGTAATATCTACTTGCTGAAGACTTGTTCCTAATCGTGCTGTTTCTTTTTTTCTTCTTCTTAGATGACAGTATGTTCGTTTTTGATGTGCATGTATTCCTGCTACAATACATATATGTTCTTCACAGCTCGAAGAGCATACCAATTACACCACCGCGAAGTGAGTACACAACATTATTCCAAACAAACAAAAAAGTATTGCGCAGATCCTGATCTCCAAAATTATGCGATACGTAGGATATGGTGAACTCACCAAACGTTACTTTAGTTCAATCACCTACTGCTCCTCAGGAAGAACCGCCAAGCTGGCGAGAAGTGACGCTGAGCCTACTGAGAAGGTTTCTATCTTCTTGCATTGGATGGCCGAATTCGGAAATCAATCAATTACCCAAACCTACCCAAGTCTACCAACTCAACATTTCGCAGATCGATCCTGTGAAACTTAAGGTCTTCATGTACGTAGATATAAAACTAAGAGTTTTCTTACATCTCCTGACTCGTGTTTTTTTTTTTTTTTTTTTTTTTGGTCTATCGATGATGTTGCTCAGTGTTTATCCTCCGCCTCAAGCTTTCCTAATACATTTCGCCAATTTCTCGGAAAGTTGCTTGCATTGGGTATTGCTCATGACCGTCCTAATCTACCAAGTAAGTCTCCTCTTCTGTAAGAGAATCCGTTGTTGGGAGGATTGTAATCCCAGTAAACTAGCTCTCATTTTTTTCGTTTGATTTTTTGATTTTGTGAAAATAGAATTATTTCATGGTCAATCATTTTTCTCAACTCGTGAAGGATAAAGAGATCATTCAAGCCGAAGTGATGCACGAGTACAACACCAAAGTGAGCCTTTCATTGATTATGATTTAATTTCATCTCCCCTCATGCAATTCAATCGAAACCATCACTGAAATGCAATCCATTTTTCTTTTGGAACTAGTTCGTTTATCCTAAGGCATTTCCTCATACAAGAGAAGCTTCAACGATGACAAGCTCTGCGGAATTCATTCGTCGTGAAGATTGGATGAGCTACTGAATCCTGCAAATAAACTAAAAACAAATCGGTTCGATACATTACTGACCTGGTTTTGCACCCTCTTCTTTTTGAGTTATGACCATCATCAAAGATACATCCAATCCATCTTCTCAAATATCTTTCTTTCTCTCTTTAGACCAATCACGGAGGTTTTTTTTTTCAAGTTTTTTTTTTTGCATCCTGTGTACCGCTTTGCTAGATTCTACTTCAACAAAAAAGTGATTGATACTTTGTTTATAATTGAACATTAGCTTCATTTGAATCTTAAATTAGTCTTTTTCTTCATTGATCCCAATTTTGATTCTTTTTTTGTAGAAGCAAAAGGAAAAAAAAGAAACATTATGGGTGCTGATTTGAGATAGTGTTTGTTGTAATGGTCTACATATCTGTGGTTGAGGGTTAAATTTCTGAGGAATATGTAGCTTGACTTGAATAAGGATTACATAGGCTGCTCAGTCAAGTTAGTACATTCAATTTGTTGGTTGCATTCAAACTCCATGAGGAGGTGGGGGATGTCATTATTAGGAAGATTGTTCACAGATTGGAGAGTATTTGAGTGGACTAGCAGTTTCTGTCTTTGGGTTTGTTTTGGGAGAGGTGGTTCTATGGAGAGTGACATGCAAGAAATACGCCTCTTAGCCATATAGATATATGTTGGTCCAATTCCTCATGATGCAAACTGTGCATCAAATTTAGGGTCAGTACCATAGGGCACAAAAATTCAATTTTTCAGAATTTATCTTACTCAAATTATCATTTCATCAGAATTGAACATGACCAGAAGCCAGTCATTAGCATAAAAGTGAAGACTCTCAATTTGAAATCTCTACACTTTGTGTCAAATATTATGTAGAAGGCAGAAAAAATGCACATTTTTCAAAATTGAATCCCATGGTACTGGCCCTTATTGCAGGGTTGTGGAAAGTGGATTGCCAAAATGTTTGGCATTTGCTCTAAAAAACAATGTGTAGCTGCAAATCATTCTTTTCCCATTTGGCAATGATCTGATCATGGGTTGTTGCTCACTAAGACTGGGAACATAACTTTAAGCCTCAAGCTGGAGGTCAGGGCTTGATTTCGTTTTAGAAATTTTTCACTTCATACAAATACTTCATGTTCTTTCCATGAAATTTGATGGGTTTATTGCCACTTTCAGTTCAGGCACACATACCTATAGGACTCTTCACCTTAAGAGCTGAGACCATGAGCTCGACACTGAATTTGCTTCTTGTCGTGTCCTGTTTGATATAGCACCTAATCCTACCTAATCTTATCCTATCCACTACATTAGAAGATTTGGTTTGGTGGCATCCTGGGCCCAATCAATGGACGGAGAGAAGTCTAGACCAGCCCACTGTGGGATCGATGGAGTGATTGCTGTCGCACGTCATCTTGCAGCAGCATAATAGTGACATACACTGGATGTGGCTTCAGGTCCATGTGATTGACTGTCGAGATCGCATGGAGTGTAGGAAAAGTGCAGTCGCTGCTGTGTGCGCCAAAGAAGGTGGAGGAAAGAGCCAAGATGGTCGATTGGAATTGTGCGGAATCGATGGCCAAAAATCCCAGCCAAGGAAGGGCCTTTGGAGACGTCAGCAAGCGAGTGCATTGCATCTGCATTGCATAATGAATTGAAAAAAGATGACACGGGGTGCACGCTTGCAGCGGGGATGGTTTGGCTCCGAAACCATAGGTGGGCAGACCTCGGTACATACGGAATTTTGTAGAAGACCTTGGCATCTTTTGTGTACAACCTGACTTCTTCTGTACGTATTTGTTGACTTGGGGAGCCGCTCAACAACCCTCTCCGACTGCTAATTAACCGGTCTGGATAAACCCAGTGATAGCAGGTGATAGCGTCAAGAGTTGTTCCATGTTGGCGTATCGTTGGACCGTATGTATGTCACATCATTCTAGCTTTTAGTATGCAACCTCATTCATGCGCCTCCAACCTGGCAGATAAAATCCTCGTTCAATCTCGGAAAATCTAAAGGCAAATTCAAGTTCGTTTTTTTATAGCTACACTTTAGTTTTTTTTTCTTAGTAGGAGGGGGTAAGCCGTGTATTTAGCAAGATCAAATAGGAACACAACGGTTTAAATTTTCTCCTTCTTTTAAAGAGATGTCGGATACCAAGCGGCCAGTCTTGTTTCTGATTGCCGGAGCTTGGCATGGAAGCTGGATGTTTGATTCGGTCAACATGACGTTGACAGAAGCTGGATACACGACGTCACTTATCGAACTGCCATCGACGGGTGAGCCGGACGGTTTGCCGCAAGGAGAAAGGGATGATGCGGAGTATATTCGGAGTCGAATTCTAGAAGAAATCGACAAAGGCGGGGATGTAGCGATCGTCTGCCATTCGTATGCGGGCGTGCCAACGTGCGATGCTGTCAAGGGCCTAGGAATCGGCGAACGCCAACAGAACCAGCAAGCGGGTGGAGTTTGTAGCTTGATTTTTGTCGCCGCCTTTGTCCTTTGGAGCGGCACTAGCGTGAATGAACTGAACGACAAACACCAGCACGCCGAATTTCATTACCAGGTTATAACTTATTTTCTGACTGACTTCCTTTGAGGATCTCCGACCTTCTGGCGGTTTCATCTGTGCTCCAATTTTTCTGACCCGTTTTGCAAATCGATTCGACTTTTATTTATAGGAGGGATTGGTTTGGCCAGCGAGGCCGGAAAACTTATTCTATAACGATTTACCCAATGGATTTGCCGTCGAACTGTCTCGTTTATTGCGTTCGCATTCAGCAGGGTGGGTGTCAACTTTTACAGAACCGATAACAAAAAATAAGCCCGAGATTGTTCTCTGATTTTCCTCGTTTTTCTTTTTCCTTTTGGCTTTAGAGTTTTCGCCAGTCCGCTTGACCACGAAGCCTATCGATTTATACCTTCCTCATATCTCATCTGCACCGAAGACAACGCGATTCCATTGGCGGCACAAGAAGAAATGCTGGCGGATAAGCTAGGATACTTCTTACTGGTCGAACGGCTTGCCTCAGGCCATTTACCTTTCATCAGTCGCCCACAAGAGACGGTCGACTTCATCACCAAAACCCTGAGTCTCGTCCTAACTAAACCTCCACCCAGCCAATTAGGAACATCATCATGACCATCGATGGCCCATGGAGTCAGGCCTATGGAAGATATCGACTTCATCTTGATCATTCCTTTGAATTTCGTCGACCAAAACTCTAGATTAGCCATCCAGTCTCACCATTTCATCTTCGCTCTTTTTTTGATTTTGTTTATGGCTATATTAAAAAAAATCACGACGATCCTCTATTGAATAAACGGAAATACTATAGGAATTGATTGCAAGAGAATCCTCAACCATAATGAATTTGGTTGAAAGCCAAACAATCTCTTGCTCGCTCTCCCGTTTGAATATTTGATCTCGACTTGCCTTTCAAGTTTTCTTCAAAGATAATTGTCTATTTCCTACCAATATACAGGCACATGCATTCAGTTTTTCATAACAATCTTGTTCATTCTGATCCCGGCCTTTTCTGCAAGGTCCTATTACCAGAGATTATTGAACCGTTCATCCTCCTTGATCTAAGATACCCAGCTCGAATTGAGATGACTGGGTTAGCTACGTCAAAGAAGTTGATTTTTTACATGACTGCATGCAACAGTTTTGATGATGATACTATGTGTAGATATCGAATGGCATGACTGATGAGTTTATAGAGATCCAAATCAACTTCCTTCGTGTTCTTGCCAAAAATAAGAACACAAATTTGACCGTTTTTTTCATTGTAATTTGTAGCAAGCCTTCCTTTGAAATGAATTCCTTGTTTGAAGCATAATTCAGCTTCTTTCGTTTTCAAATGGAATAATATGCACTGAATGGATAGTCTTAGTATGCCGGATTTCCTAATTTTTTTTTTGTCTAAAAACTACCTGGCTATCTTTGTTGTGGAAAAAACATGAGAAAGGCCCTGAGTGTGAGTTCCACAACAAAAATCAAACATTACTTTCCACAGAGTTTTGCTTTTGCACCAGCCAGGCGCCAGACCTCCCGGCAGAGATGGAGGATGATGTCAAGCCATGTAAAAATATAGCTGCTTGCTTTGATTATAGGAACAGGTTGGAATTGGAGCCGGTAGCAAGGAGAGAGAACAATCAAGCCATCGATGTTCATTGCTCCGTGCCTCTTGACTCCTCTGGCCCTCCATGTTTGGAGCTCGCACACCCGCAGCTCTGCGATGCCTTCTGCTCCATTTTTGGAGTGATTATATAAGCACCACGCGGTCGCGGTCGCGTTGCTGGGCAGAAGGGTCAAGGGCCGGAGACTGCACCACAACCACACTAAACCAGAAATTGACGATCGGAAATGGATATCACTCAAGCTATCTGCAACCCATTACGCTTTATCGATCTCCTTCATCAGGATGCAACTCAGGCAGAACCGTCTCAAGGCGAATCCGTCAAAGTCGAAGAATCAATTTCGCGATCCTTCCGATCTTTGCTTATCAACGATGACTCAGTTTACCAGGTCCGTTTCTACCTTTTTTGATTGCCTACCCTCCATGTAAAACAAACAGCGTTGATCTGTCTGACATGTATGCTCTAAATCAGATCCCCTCCATAACCCATCCTCTGACCTCACCAGAGTCTCTTCCTAGGGAATCCCTTGTTCGTTTTCGATGTATGATTCAAGATACTGGATTAGGACCTGAACTTTATTCCTCTAAAGACTCGGCCGGAAGATGTATGATGTATCGCGAGTCAAACTCGTGCTCAAACGTGGATCCGGTGGATAATTATAATCATGGAATGCTATCCGAACGTGAACTATACTATGGCGTAGAGATACCGGGGGAAGCTTCCTGGGTTCAATCTGCTCTAGATGGTTCTCCTGAACGGGGGTTAGAATATGCAATCAACAAGTTGGATATGGTTGGCAACGAGGCAGAGCCTGAAGGCTTTCACAAGGCCGATGTCTCCACGCTGGAAGGCACTCGTGATAAGTACCCAATCCGTGGCAAGAAGCATGTTGGAGCTCTCCTGAAGATATATGACCCATCCGACAACCAGCTGATCAAGACATCCGATGTAATTGAGGTGATTGGCATTCTTGATTGGACACCGTAAGTAAGCCCGGATCGAGGAATGATTGGAAATAGCTGTACAAGAATGTGATCCTCAATCTTGGAATTTGCCTCTCTACTTCCAGCTTTCTTTCCGAAAACCATCACGAAAATCTAGTGACTGGCCAGACGAATGATAATACCCTTTCAGCCACATCATCAATCCCCTGCGTTCACGTCGTTTTTTGCCGGACACCGCCCCTACCGCTGTTGGAAATTCCGAATCAGCAAGCGGAGCGAAAGATTATCATTGATCGACTCTTGAATTACCTGTCGACCCGAGTTTTCAAAGGAGATGACCTGGCAGCTCAGTATCTACTTGCTTCTATAGCAGCCAAAATGTTCGTCCATTTTTTCTGTTTTGTTATTTGGATCATTCCCTTGAGTCGGGCATAATACAACTGACAAGGGATATTATAGTCACACTCGACTGAATGGATTCACCATTGGAGCTTTACCCTTGAACTTGATCTATCAGGATGACTCAGATTCCGCTTCTTGTCTATCCGAGGTACTATCGTCAATTCTACCCAGATCTCTCATGATCCCTCTCACCATCGTTTCTTTGAACCAAGCCCCACTTTTCCCTGTCTCCAATGAAAGCTCTCTGCACTCTGGACCCTTGCAACTATCGCCTGACACCACTCTAGTGATTGATTCGCGAAAGATGTCCGAAGGCCAACTTAACTCGATGGGAATAAAAAATATCTCAGCTTTGAAGAAGGTGGTCAATGACGGCAAACTCATGTATAGTTTCCCTTACAGTACATTTGAGTTCGACGTTGAGATAGGAATTGTTACTCTTAGTGAAGGCTGTAAAACGTTTTTAGAAGGCTTCTGGCCTTTACCAATCCATCACTCGAAATCGCATGACGCGTCACCCTGTTCAGAACCTACGACAGAAGAGCTTTCGATTTGGAGAGGACTTATTCAGGATATGCGGAAACGACCAATCATTATTCCTGAATCGCTATCATCCGTGAGTTTTTTCTTTCCGTGCAAATCGCACCAAACTCTACCAGGTCCTATTCCGCTCGGATGCGTATCATGTAACTTAACATCTTCATGAACATGCAGGAGATCCAAGAAGCCTTTGTCTCGATACGGAAAACGGCAACAACTCTAACAGATGCCGACAAAGCTATGAGTCAGGAGGATCTGAGCCAGCGCCTACAGCTGGCCAGATTACTTGGCCTTCGGCTAGGGAAAGATGAAGTCGACTTGGATGATTGGCAACAAGCTTGTAAACTAGAGAAGCTCCGCAAGATTAGACTGAGCACCAAGTAGTTTGTAATGATCTCCTCGACTAGTCTAGAGGACTTGCTCATCAAGAGAAACATTCCAACGCCCATGTTGGATTATCACATATCATTTATCACCTTGGCTCTCTGTTCATTCTCATTCTTTGCCAAACATTTCAAACACATGGATCATTAAGTACAGTGCACAATGAAACGTTTAACAAGTGATTATGCTACTCAAATTTTTGCCAAATTCCCCCAAGATTTAAACGATCGGAAACAGTGCAGGCAAGTAACTCAATGTATCTTGAAGTGCTGCGTCAAATCCTGAAATTTCAAGTAAATATTGTCAACACCTTGAGCATCATCCTCTCGGCATGTGTAAAACCCGTGCGAAGACCTGTCCAACATTGAGAATTTCCTCCTGGGTTATTCTTGTCATGGACAAGACATAGAGGACAAGGCTATGAGTAGGCTTTGCACCCTACTCACGTCTTGTGAGACGATGTAAAGTCTGTTAAGATTGAAGCGTCATTTTCCTAGTGTTGTCATTGGAAAAAGAAAATCTCCGGCAGGATTGTGTAATTTGTGCTCTCCACAAGGCGCAATCTACCCAGCCAAGATAACTCAGTGGAACTCGGCAGGCCGAGTGAAATGCATGATTTGTCTGGGAATAGCCTGCAAGACCCGGCCTCCACAAACACAGGAAACCCAGACAAACAGTGGGACCAAATTCAAGCAATTGCTTTATTGTAAATATTGTTTGTAACAAGACAAGACTATCCAAAGCTTCCTCGCTAAGCTTGTGGTCGTTGAGAGGATTTGCAGTAAATATCTGCCGGAACACATCTGAATTTAACACACATGCCTACATAGAAGCCGCCGTTCAGCCTCCAGCCTCGAACGACACCCCTTGGTTCGTGAACATATTTATCTGAATACCAATCAGCGCACAAGTCACCATCGGCTGCGCTTGTTGTACAATCACTGTCGGCCGGCCTTTCAAGGGTGCATCCTTGATAAGGTTGTCATCCTTCCGATCTACATACATGTATACTGCAGGTACACACCATAAAATTAAATACCACTGTATCTTTGTGATGCTTATTTTTCTTTCCGGATTTGTGGGGCGATGCTTGTAAATCAAGAATTGCAGCTTTCGGCTTTAAACCCGCCCAAAGAGAACGTTGGACTTTGCCAACATGAGCCATATGACTTGACGTTATAGCTCTCCGCTTCAGAGGGTCGAGTAGGCCTGGCTCGCCTTCAGCGGGCGCCTCGCCCTCCATCCCCCCTTCTCATCATCGATGGTTGAAGATTTTTCTCCCCTTAACTTTGGGGCTCCGTTTTTTTTTTTTTGGATTTCATACTTGTATAGATTATAGCTCAATCATGATATTCATTGGGATTGGGAGTTACATCCTCCAATACAGCCCAGTGCTAGTCGCTTCATCACTTCAAAACTCAAACTTGAGTTTCATTCAAGAAGTGCATGCGCACCTGAGGGGTTCTCAGACTCAGACTCTGTATGCTTATCATGTTTGTTCACGCCTGTTAGTCGTTGGAAAGATCAGAGCTGAGGGGGGAACTTGACTGATAACTCAATGATTTCTGTAAATCAAAGACCCGCCAAGTCCCATCCTCACAAGAAGTAAATACTGCACTAGGCTCGGCCAATCCATAAGAGCTCCCAGCCATCGTCGGACTTCCTGATCTGTCGGCAAATTCAAACTTGCCTGGAAGTTCAAATCAAGTAATCAGAGTCATCATGCGCAGCTGTTATCAGACTCGTTGGTTGCAATGCATGGATTCGGATGTAAATAATATATGAATCCAAAGAAAATCTGGATCGGCAAGCCGCAAAACAGCGACGCCTATTTGGTGCAGCTTCTTCCCAAGAACCGCCGGTAGAGGTACTGAACTGGACTAGGAAGTTGCCGCACTGACCAGTCATCCGTAGAACCACGCACACCTGTTTGCACGCCTGTCTTTGAATTGACCTCCATCAACCTGAGGCAAGAAACAAACATATATAATACACATCTTTACTCTTTCTCCCACATCTCCTGCCTAACTTCGACTCCATACGTTCATTTTCTGCATGCTTACTCGACTGTCGTTTTCTATTTATAAGCTCCAGTCTGTCTAAAGCCTCCGCGAATAGATCTTCTGATTCACTCATACATCTCACACGGACAGAATCCAAGTCTATCATGAACTTCGTTCTTCAACTCAGTGTTCTGCTGCTCACAATCATCTCACAGTCTTTTGTTCGATCCAGTCCCTTCACAACAAGGGCAACTGAAGTTATACCCGATCCTGCAACCACCTGCTCCCGGCCCGGCCTTGCGGCACTTACTTACGATGACGGACCTTATGATTATGAAAATAAAATCTCCGATTACCTCAATGCCCGTCATATTAAAGGCACCTTCTATGTCAACGGCAATAACTACGATTGCATTTACGATGAGGCGATAGTGAAGCACTTAAAGCGCAGTAAGAATGTTACCTCTTATCAAAAAAATATCCCCACCATTGCCTGCTTATCATAGATTGTTGTTGGCCCAAGCTTTCTCCCAGGGCCACTTGATTGGATCACATAGTTAGTCATACCTACCCCCTGGTTTCCGCGAGAGGTCTCTTGGCTCATTGATTCTTACAACAATCCTTCGATGTTGCCCGGTTACACAATCTTTGTTTAGCATGGTCACATGCAAATATCAGCAGCTTATCGGCCGCAGAATTAAACCAACAGCTTGACTTAGTCGAAGTAGCATTAATCAGTTCGTCTCATTCAATTTCTGTCAGACTTTTTCTCCGAGTAACATGCTTAGTATTTTGTGATTTTGTTTGGCCATCCAGAGATTCTTGGAGTCAAGCCGAAATTCTTCCGACCTCCTTATGGTAAGCTTGACGAATTATCAAACCAGATGATGTGTTGTTAGGATTTTTCGCTGAAGATATGAGATAATTCCGCCAGGTGCATTCGACCAGAAGAGCTTGGCGATATTGAAGAAACGGGGGTACATCGTGGCCAACTGGTCATTTGACTCCGAAGACGCTGTGGGAGCGACGCCCGAGCAATCGATGGCATCTTATAAGGAACTCTCGAAGCAGTTTCCGGCCTCTCAGATCACACTCAACCATGAGACTTACCAAACTACGGCCGAGAAAGTGACCCCATATGCCGTGCCTTTGTTGCAGAAGGCCGGGTATAAGCTAGTGCATATATCCGAATGCTTGGGAACGGGCACCAAATTGACTGATCTCTACCAATGGGTCGGAAAGCCTTCTGTCAGAGATGTAAGTTCAAATTCTGCTCCCCCAACAGTTGAAAACATCTTGAATTGACTTGTGGCCTTGGATTCAGGCATCGTGGACGTGCAATGGGACCCCAGCTCCAACGGACAACTAGTCTAGCCAATGTCAAATGTGACTACAGCAGATCAACTCATACATCTGTTCCTCATCTCTTCACTCTGTAACTGCAGTAATCCATACTAGTATCCTACCTCACATATGTCCTGATCTTACTCTTACTTAGTTTTCTCTCGAAGTTGTTTTGAACTTTTCTCATTCATTTTTTTAATACTAACAACAAAGCGAGATTCATATCATTAATGGACCAGAAAAACTCTACCTCTTATCTTGACTTTCGAGTGTCTCCACGATAAAAACTCGCCTCGGATGAAGGCTTAGGTTTAAGCGCAACAATCCGTGTATTGTGTTTTGCTCGTGTCGCACACAACCTGCACCAGACCAGAAGGGCAAAATTCTCCCCTGTTTGCACCCCCTGATAACAATGCAAATGCATTCGTGTAGTCAAGAGTTCTGTAAAATTTCTCTCGGTGGGCTCAAACCCAAGATTAAACCATATACAATAGGCATCTGATGAGGTGAAGTTGGCCAGTCAGTACCCAAATAAATTGCCCCCGATCTAATCTCGGCTGCTTCACAGCCAATCTGGGATCAACTACGGCTTGGCTCATTCCCTCCCACCGGAAAAATCCAACGTGATTTTCGATATCGTTACAGTTGCAGATTCCCTGGAAGGATACTTGAACTCTCATGGGCCTGGAAATTGGAAGCAGGCTCAGTGATCCAATACGTGAGGGATGAAGCATTGTCAGGTTGTCTGTGAAAATATTGAAGCCACTGTGTTTTATATCCACCATCCAATCAACAATTTTCCATTTCTGTGCCTGTGACATAGATCTGCTTTTTTGTTTTGTTTTGCTCAACCATGCATTCAGAAAAACTTATCTATCAGATTATAGATACCTCTGATCTGCACTTATCCACACTCACTTCCTTTTTATTTTTGCCCAAGAATCACACCGGAAGAGAGCGAGAATGGACAAATATGGATGAGGTGGTCAGAGTCAAATCAGGTTGAGAGTGAATTGACAACATGGGGTTCATTTTTTCAACTTTTCCTTGCTTCCACCCATTCCTTCATCAGTCTTATTCCTTGAGATCTTACATAGATCTTGTCATCTCATGTGGGGGTATTTGGAAGATTGTTTTAGCACAAGAGGCGGGCAAAAGCTTTTTATTGGATTTCGTTAGACCATGATTGCGAGCAAGAATTCCTCAGACAATCCGCTCTGATCATCTGATGTATGTATCTTCGGACAGACTATGCGGTCGTGCCCGACCCGCAGCCCGATGATCAGGAGCCGGACTCACTCTTCGGACACAGTCGGCATCGGCCCGCTGCTCGGACTTGGCCCAACACCAGATATCATCGGTCAATGACTTCTGTCATGATAGATCGTTTGGATTTATTTCCTGATGTCTAGGTTACATCGATTTCAGCTGATGACGAGTTACAATTGCATTGAATGGCTGGACATCGTGCGGAAAGCTGATTCTTGAGCAACACGCTGTCTGCCCAAACTAGGATCGTTTGTCTGATCTGGGTTTCTCTCTGGTGATATATTAATTGCTGCGTGCCGCGGTGGAGAAGTACGCTTGAGATGACTTGATCAGCACCATGTTCCAGGCCGAGATGTCTGCCTCCCAAGTGTTTGCACACAATCTCGCATTTGAAAGGTTTCGGCCCCCGCTAGTCCAGTCCATAGCTAGAACTGGTATCCAAGATATATTTATTCAGTCCAACTACAAGTCCTCTCTTTCGGCCTGAGGATACGCGTCTTGGCTCCCAAGCTGAGCAGCAACTGGCCTTGGACATTTCACAATATAAGAAGCATGTTCTTTTCCACATTCTTTCATCCCCATCCCTCAGCAAACATCTCTACCTCTTCCAATTTCTTCAACCTTTTGACAGGCCCCTTATATCCACTTGGATCTTTCGCCCTTACATATAATATAACCTTCAATTTATTTTTCAAGAAACCCACTTTGATTCGACCCCCCAAATTCGACCCCATCAAATTCAATCGACTGCAAACCACCGAACACCGATCGTTTTCAGATCCCAAACGAAAGAATAATCTATTCAGCCAACATGCAATTCAACACGCTCCGCCTTTCACTCTCCGCTGCCATCTTGAGCGCCACTAGTATCATATCTGCCCCTGCTCCCAACTTCGGCGGCGGTCTAGGCGTTGGTGGTGGGATTGGAATTGGAATCGGCTTAGGAGGGGGCCTGGGAGGCGGCTATGGTGGAGGCTATGGAGGCGGCTATGGAGGTGGATATGGCGGAGGCTATGGCGGCGGTTATGGCGGAGGTCTCGGCTACGGTGGAGGCCTCGGCTACGGTGGAGGCCTCGGCTACGGGGGAGGCCTCGGCTATGGGGGAGGCTATGGAGGGGGACTTGGATACGGAGGAGGTGTGAGTTCATAGTTGCTACTACTAATCAAGGCCAGCTACACTCATCTGACAACACCCTCTTCACCTGTTCTGCAGTACTACTAAATTGATTCAGAGGCATTAGGACTTTTCAAGACCATGCGGCCAAAACCATGAACTCTCTCAACCCATTCAAGGCAGCACACTTGATACCCTTTTTTCATCATTCTCAATGCCGCTACTAGCTTAACCGGCCACTTTTCATATGAATTTGAATTCTTTTCTTTTGGGCTATCAGGTTCTCATGTTTCTTTATTTTACATTTTCTTTGGGACTTGTTTGATTTCACTTGTTATTTAGGAACTTTTACATATTTATACAATTAAACAACGGGACATATTTTTTGGTTTTACTTTAGCAACTTTTGGGGCCGATTGACATATCGCGTCCTTCTTGATTAAGACTGAAGTGACCTCACTGATACTGAGCCCACACATTCTATAGGCATTTTCTAGATTGGCTAAGCTCTTGGTACGTGATATTGATGCTCAACAACAACCAACTTGATCTGGTGATCAGAAGGAATCATTTCCTCAGTCAAAATGGCCACGGGGATTCAGAATGCCTTGAGACTACAGTGACACAATGCCTTTTTTTGTCCAAGTCATTCTTCTCTGGCACAGACATGAGATGTTCAAGGATTGATTTGCCTCTTATCCAATTCTTTCCGGAAAAAATGTGCTGTCTTATAGTGTACTCAATTTTTTGGCGCAACAAAAGCAAAAAAAAAAAAAAAAATCCAAGAAGTGAGCCTCCCTGGAGGCATTTGCAAGTACTTCTATCTTAAAAATAATGGAAATCCCAAAGGAGCTTTCGAAAAAATAACCATGCCCTTTAATGGGAACATCTTCACTCCAAGTGTCCAATCCAAAAGATACTTATAAGGACTACTCCCTTCCCAGAGGACTGGATGTAGTATCTGCAGCAGCTAAATATCAGGCAGGGCTTCTTCCTTGTCTGATGGCCAAGGACGGGTCCATCGATGGAAGATTGCTTCGCAATCATTTTATATATACTATGTAATCTGCCAGAGGTGTATCCCTACTGACAGGTCACCGGCCGGCATGTGTGGGAATGGCTCAAATCCCCCTGTTTGGTTATCTCTCTGTCTTCTTTTGTCCGCAAATTCTGGCCCATTTGTGATGATCCTATTCCTACATACATGATATAAAATAGGAAAACATTCCATAGGAGATGCGGTTATAATGGCTTCGGTTAATTTTTGGGCGTTATAACAGACGGTCCAGTCCGGCTCCGGATTTGGATAGACAGAGAACAGATTCGCCATCCATTTCAAGCTGGATGCCACTGGTGTCTTACAGTCTATTAGAAGGACAGATATGTGTAAATAGTAGATGCATCCCAAGAACATAGAAAGAAGCCCCTCAATGGTGAGGTGTGTGCCTACCTCCGATCATCATTACTGATTAATTGCTGCCGGGTTTAAAATACAACACTTGTCTATGCAAAAGTCAGTCTAGCTGGTCGCAAGTTGTTGGTCCGCGAAGTCCGCCGATCGATCTGAGATGGTTTGTCATGAGAAGTGTTTATGATGATCCAAAGCTCTTTTTGTTGATGGTGTAGTGTACTGTAACGATCGAAACCGAGATGAGGGTGCAGTGAGTGATGTTGGGTTATATGGTGATATGTGTGTAGTATGTATGACAGCATGTGTAGTGGCTCTTGACGTCAAAGAGTGCCTGCCCAGCCAAATCTCTCGCTCTTCTCCTTCTCCTTCTCCTTCTGTCCCTCTCTTCCTCCCCTTCTTCTTCTTCTTCTTCTTCTTCTTCAGACATCCTTTTAGTACTCTCGACTTCTTTCTAAACTAATCAACTTCTTAGACCACATCTCATCTGCCAACAATCTCGTCATCAGATCTCTCAACCTCACCACCATCTCGAAATGGGCACCAGATCTGCTGCTGTTCAGTAAGTAGTATCCTCCCCTTACCACACTACCAGAAATACTAACAACACTTCTCCATCCATCCTCCCAGGATACGGCCCCCTAGCTCAACCACCTCGGCCACCTCTTCTCCTCGGCCTGTCCTTGCCTCAATCTCTCACTCGGCCGTTCCTGCTTCAAACCTTCAGCAGAAAGTCTCTGATGGTGAGTCTTTGTCTCTTTTTCAAATACCAAGTAAAAATATATAGATCATGCCGCTAACTCATCTGCTCCTTCTCCTCATCTCCAGGTAACTAGGCATTCCTCTGGCTCAGACCAACTGTCCTCCCGCGTGCCTAACTCTATTGCTCTTTCAGCTGATAATCAGTCCCACAACGAGTCGAATGGCAGCAGTCAGTTTAATCATCAAGTGAGTAGGAAACTTTTATTATCATTTTTAGTTAAATTTTTCCAAAAAGAAAAAAAAAAAACCACACTCGGGCTTTTTGATTAACTTTTGGGGATTCCTACACTATTTAGACATCCCCTACAATTTCAACTGGACGGAAATCTAGCCCTTCCTCTCCTCGGAAATTCTCTCTGCCTCATCCAGCCCGACCTGCAACGGCCACGCCAATTGCATCCAGTGGAGCAAGCCTGACCACCAACGCACCCGTCTTCGTACCCAGTGGGACTCTCAATCCATATCATCCACCATCCGGCAGGACTGGCCAACAAGTCAAATTGAATAAGTCTGCGGCTGAGTTTGCACCCTCCGGCTTGGTACCCACCAGCGATGTTAGTCAGTATCTTGCTTCGTTTTCAAAGAAAACAAAAACAAAACCCCGAATCGAATGATCACAATGAACCGGTTAGATATCACCACACATTTCAAGCGATCACTGGCAAACAGATTCAATAAACACATGTGAAATCCATCATCTCAACATCATCACTCTTATCTCATCTTACTTGACCTACAATCCAATTATCACTGAAGCTTTGCTGATTCCCAAATAAAAAATAAAATAAAAATAACTTTCTTTGATTAAACAGTCGTCCACGCTTTACAATCATTCAAATACGTCAGAATCCGCCCCTTCGTATTCATCATCGTCATCTACCTCATATCCGGGCGAGCCAACATTTCACCCACACAATCCTTACGCCTATGACGCCGAGCGTCTACTGCATTCGCAAGCTACTCATCATCCTATCACCGAGGCTTACATGCCCCACGATGGCTTCATGCCCCACAATCGTGTATCAGCTCCCTCATTATCAAATTTTCAACGGCCTGTCAGTCAAAAATATGTATACATATACTAAAATATTCTTTTCAATATATATTTCCCCAGTTCTCTGTTCTTCGTTTCGTCGCTTCATGTTTGTTTGCTAAAATTAAGGATCTCTTCTAGCTCAACTACCATCTCTACGCTCCTCCCTTGCCTCATTCATCTAATCAACATCCTCAACAACTAGCCCTCAACAAATTCTTCATGCCCGCTTCCATACGGGAAACCTTGCAGAAAAGTACGTAATGAAAGTCCATAGCCCATTCCTTGATTTGAAAAACCATATTCTCGTTGGCTAATCCAAGAATAAATCCTTCCTAGAATCGGCGGCTACGTTACAAGGACCAACGCACGAGGTTGCAAGGACCCCAGAGGATCTAGGAGTCTACCACTCATTGGTTGTCTTAGACTCACCCCATGTGACAAACAGCAGTACGAGCTCACTCCACCCCACAATAACTGGCGGAGCTACCAATGGATCGTCGACGATGAATCCGGCTGCGAACGCGCATCGCTCACCGTATTCGAGTCGAGTTTTGAAGAACCCTTGCTGGATTTATAAAGCCTTCTGTTCGTTGGATGGGAAAGCCTATTGCTTGTATCGGGTCGAGGGCGTTCGTTTGAAACAGGGTCAAGGTGAAGCTGCCATCGGCCAAGTCGAACGCTGGAGGAAGATTAGACATCCTGCAATCGTTAATGTCCGCGAAGCGTTCACCACCAGGGCTTTCGGCGACCATTGTAATTTTTGTTTTGATTTTTGCTTGTCTTCTTCCTCGAAACTTTTTTTCTAATCTGTTCAAGACTTTTCTATCTGACGTTTATACAAGAACTGATGGATTATCTTCTACAGCAATTTTATTTGCTTATGATTATCATCCACTCAGTCAAACTCTATATGACGAACATATATCAGCCAAGAAAAGCTCCACTAGAACCTTCGCAACGGATGAAGTAGAACACCCCTCGAATCTGTCCAATCCCACTCAATCTGGATCTCGATACAACCGCCACCGATCTGCCAACGGCCACCCTTCTCGCATTGGCTTATCAGAAGAAAGAATTATCTGGTCCTACGTAATCCAGGTAGATAGATTGCCGTCTTCGCGAAGCAACTTGATAGGGTTCTATTCATTTCGGGTTGTTGATGTCAACCCATTGATTTTTTTTAGATTGCCAATGCCATCAAAACAGTCCACTCAGCAAACCTCTCTGTAAGAACGATCGATCCGACCAAGATCATCTTGACTGGAACTAACCGGTGAGGCTTTCCCTTCTGAACTTGTGTGGAATCTTTGGGGAAGGGAAAGATGCTTGACTTGGGCCATCATATTAAAAAGTTTTTTCGAAATCACGTTTCAATACTATCTTTGTCAACACCAAACCGTCAACCAAACCAAAAAAAAACCTATCATAAATCATTAGGGTGAGGATTAATGCGTGCGGGATTCTAGATGTTACAGAATACTCGCCCAATCAATCACCAGAAGACTTACAAGTAGAGGATCTTCGGGATTTGGGATGCTTGATCTGTTCCCTAGCTAGCTCGTCAATCTGCATCAAGACCGACAACAATTCGCTCACCAAAGGAGTCGAATATGTCAAGCAGTTCTACTCGGCCGAGCTCAGTGAGGTGGTCGCTTACCTGTTAGCACCAGCTCTTGATGGCCATACAATCTCGATCGAAGGCCTTCTACGGATGCTATGGAGTCGCAGCTTAGACGAAATGACGAAAGTCTTTAAGTTTGTTCTCCCTGTCCTTTCTTTCTCACTTCTCCTTACCCAACCTTTCCTTTTTTTCCCGTCTTGGAAATCCCTCTGGAAGCTCATGTGCCCCTTTCTGCCGTCTGTTATCTTTGTTTGTCCGGTCTTGCTTCGAATGTCTAGTCATAACGATCTGCTCGAGGAATCTCTCTCTCGAGAGTTGGAGAACGGTCGGTTGGTTCGGTTGATGGTCAAGCTTGGCTTTATCAATGAGAGGCCTGAGTATGTCGAGTACCATCCTCATCTTTTCTCTTGTTTACTGGACCGATTTGAACTGAGTCAAATCTCCATCGATTTCCAAATAAACAATGACTCCAGGTTTGATCATGATCCCAATTGGTCCGAGACATCGGAGCGCTATCTCTTGAAACTGTTCCGGGACTACGTGTTTCATCAAGTGGATTCGCAAGCGAAGCCGGTCACCGATCTGAGCCATGTGTTGATGTGCTTGAATAAATTGGACACAAGCTCGGACGAGAAGCTGACGCTGATCAGTAGGGATGACCAAACCTGTGCGATCGTCACCTATGCCGAAGTAAGATCTTCACTCGTTTCCCCCCTCCGCTCTCGTTCTGGGTTGTTTACCCCTTTTTTTTTTCTGTTTGTCTCTTTGTTTGTGTTGTAGATTAGGAGGATCATGGACTCGGCGTTCCGCGACCTTTCTCGATAACTCCTGTCTCCCTTGATCTCACTCGTTTTCTCCCCTTTCTGATGAATTCTTAAGAAGGCATAAACAAGATTGTAAGATGTGTGTAGATTCTAGTTGTGTTTAGTGTGCTCTGCATCTACGGTTGCGGATTGGTCACTCCTTGATTCCAGAATCAACTTCTTCTTTTTTTTATTTCTTAACACTTTTTGCGCTCTGGATTTACGCATCTTTTTGTTTTTGTTTATCCTTCTCTTTCTCTTTCTTCTTCTTCTTTTTTTTGTTTTCTGAATTTAAGGCATCCATCAGATTGGTTACAATTCTTCTGACTGCATCTTGTTTGTTTGTTTTGTTTGAGGAATGAGTGGATGATGTGGCTTGAATTTATCATCCATCTTCTTTACAATACATATCTAAGAAAAATATTCAACATATTTAAAACAAAAAAGATTTGTTCTGTGATGAATTTATTATGATTAGATGTGTATTTATCATCTTGATCAAGCATCTTTTGTTTTGTACATCTGGTTCAAGTTCTTGTTTTTTTGTTTTTTCCTTCAGTTTTTTTTTTTTTTTTTTTTTTTTTGATTACTGTTTTGATTTTTCTTTTTCTTTAATATTTAGAAGCAGATTCAAGTAAGTAATGTAAGTTCTTTGATCGAGCTACAGAAGAGGATGGATATGTAACTCTCAGCTTGAATTTACTGTGTCAGTTCAACTGATCAGAATGTTCCTTCCTTTCTTTTTTGTTTTCCTTTGTCAAGATAAATATCTGTACTTGAAAAGGTTGCAGTGGCAATGGCATATAAAATATAGATAAAACATTTTTTTTTTTAAAAAAAAATGCTTTGATTGTATGTTATACATCCAGTCAAAAAGGTGATGATCAAATGGATGGTTTGATAAGGTTTGCTCATTAGACTGTAGCTGCGGAATGATCTTGTATCTCACTAAACAAACAAGATGTGTCCAGTAGAGCTGCAATGTAACTCAACATAAAGATGAGATGATTCGATAAGAGTGAGTGTTCCTGCTAGCAAGAGTTGTAAATTGATGATCTCTCACTTTGACAGTGCCTCACAGCTTGTGTGATGTAAAATACAATATACTCCAAAAGAGCTATACTACATATAACACAATTTTCTTTTACTGTACTTTCCTCTGTTGTTGAGTTTTAGTAAGTGCCTCCTCAATTGCTCAAGGCTGATTATAAGCCAGGACTTGTATTGCTTTATATGTCTGTGTATCAATAATAATTTGATGGGAGTGGAGATAGGTTCAACTTGCAAGTGGATGGGTGTAGGGTCTAGAGATGGAAATGAATTGGAAAGGAAAATGGGAATTATCAGGTTGGGTTGGGGGCAAAGATTGGGGCATGTAGCTTTATTTATTTATTTATTTTTTCATGATTCTTGGTTGGTTCTATGTATTGAGTAATGAGCATTGAACCGGGTTAAAGTCCAGTGGGCACGGGGTTCCGGGGGATTCTGCAGTGATAAGGTAAGTCTTGTTGACTGGTTGGTGCGGATGACGTCATGATCTGATAGTCTCCGATGAGTTTTTCAGATTCCTTGAAATTTCAGGAGACGGTCAACAAGGAAGAAAACCAACCAAGAACCACCACCACCAAGATGAAATCACCAAATGGCTCAAACCCAAGAACCACCTATCACTACACCCTGAACCAACAGCAACAACAGCAGCAACAACAACAACAACAACAACAACAACAACAACAACAGTCAAGACCATTCCTACTCAATCGAGCAACTAATGAGATCACCCAATTCCCATCATACGAAACCATGTACCAACTATCAGCTTCACCAACAACTAGGAACAACCAACAACAACAACAACAACAACACCAACCCATCCCATCACCATCTCACAACTTCTCATCATCCACCATCCAATCTATCACTCAATCAACCAGCTCATCAAATAACCACCAACAGCAGGAAAACCAATCCTCATTCACTCACTTCCTCAGAAGACTACTCAACAAGCAACACCAGAAACTCATCACCAACCAACCAATAACAACCGAACCATCCCCAGAAGAACTACTCGATCATTCACCAGCAAAACTCATCCCACTCACCCTACTCCTCTTCGCCTCTCAACTCATATCCATCATCACCACCTTCTACGCCATCCCATTCCTCATCAAACTCCGTCCATCCAACCTATCCAGATTTATCCTCTGGATTGCCTTCCCACTAGCCGGACTCATCATCCCGGTCTACCTCGGTACGAGCTCAGACCTACGAACTCAATCCAAACATCGAAGGACAGCACCGATCGCTTATTCAACTCCTATCCTCATCTGCTCACTCCTATCGCTATCCTTCTGTCAGCCGATCGGAACGCTAATCATCTACATCCTCGGATTAGATCAGGGGGACTGGGACCCCAACCGGAAGATCTACATCCAATCCGCATCCATCGCCATCGGCATCCTCTCACTCTACCCGCTCACCTTCTCTCTCAATGCACTCATCCAATCAGCTCGCTCACTCATCCTAGATCAAATTCATGCCGAAAACCAACCACTCGTCAACATCTGGATCACCCGACTCACCAGACTAGCCGACCTACTCGTCTTCCTTATCGTCTCTGGCTCTTCTGATGCCGATCTTCACGGGCCAAACCAACCCAACCTACTCCGAAAACTCGTCGGATTCTCGATCCCAGTCTTACTCTTATGTTCACTAATCACCTGCTCACATGTCATCGAACGACCAGCCTTCGAGAACCACTCCTCATCATTAACACCCAATTCATCCATCCGAACCATCCTCAAGGCTCAATTCAACCTCTTCAGACAAACACTCATCGACCTACCCATCCCGATCCGTCGAGTATGTTACGTCGAAGTTTTGAGTTCAACCTGTTGGCTCACGATCTTCTACCATGCCAAACCACTCGTCACGCGATTCACCCTAGTCGAACTGAGTTCCAAGGGCGCCAAGTTGACCGAATCTCTAGTCAGATATGCCGAACGACAGGGCACTAAGGCCATGTTAAACTTCAGCATTGTCTCCCTCATCACCGCACTCATCTTGCCTTCCTTGGCTACCATCGCCACTACCGAATACTTTATCACCAGACGCGGTAAGGCCTGGAATAGGCTTCGTAGGATTGTCGCTTATGTGACCCCTAGAAACTTATGGACATTCGGCTTGGTCCTCTATGCCATCCTCATGTGTTCTACTTTCTCCATCGAGACCGGCGCGGGGGCGAATCTATTGATCTCTTTCCTGGGTCTCTCATGGACGGTATGTACGTCTCTAAATTCGTCGTATTTTTCCTGATGATGGATGAGAATCGTAATGATCATCAAAGGCTGACCTGATGTTTGCACTTTGAATTTTTTGCGGGTGAATTGATGGAACAGCTAGCCCAATGGGTTCCGCTCTCATTAGTGATGGAATATATCCGATCGATCGAAGAGACGACGATGGTCAGACTAGAAATCGATGAAGCAGGTCGATCTAATTCCCCGGTGCCATCGAGCCCACAACTGCGGATGCCGACGGCCAAGCACGAGCCCCGATTGTCTGAACAGTCTCCCCTGCTCTCTTCGGCCCCGGACCCGCCCAGTCTCGTCTCCCTCAGTGCTTCCCATCAGTACGCTACCGTCCGTGGCGGCACTTATCTCGCTATCTTCAACCTCGCATCCGTCGTGCCACACTTCCTTGTAAGCTCTCCCTGCCCCCTTCATCCCTCTCTTTTCTTCTGTTGCTGACTTGAATTTACTCCATCTGATGATCATAAATCAATCAATCAAAAGATAACGATCATTACCTCGACAATGTTAACGATAGTCCAACTAATCGAATCTAATGAAGAGGCACTCAACTCAATAGACACACGATCCCACGATCATCCATTCTGCCCATCTTTCTGGAGTAGGGATTCGAGTGTAACTGAGGTCCCCCTCAAAACTCTCTGGTTGTTCAGATTGACGGGGTTGGTCGCCCTTCTGGCTGTCTTCCTCTCTCGCTCGTTGGTCGTGCCAACTTCGGAATTGGATTATTGGGACGAAATTAAGTTCCAAATCTTCGAGGATAGGGCTGATCGTTTGCTCGTTAATCAGGTCGAAGATGATTAACTTTTTTTTTCTGTTCATTCCCTTCCCCATCTTTTCTTTCTCTTCCTTTCTCTTCATCGTTTTTTTTCCCTACTTGTATCGTTTGGTTTCAGCTTCCTTTCTTTTTCTCGTCCTTCTTTGGGGGGGGGGGGGAAGGGGCGTGTATGTGTGGGGGGTCTCTATATGCAGGTGAAGGGAGGGGGTCATGTTGAGAATTTCCTATTATCTGCTACTTTTTTTTTTACTTAACCATCATCATTGTTGTTCTCATTCTCATCATCCCCCCTCATCATCATCATCATCATCATCTTTGTTGTTGTTTTCTTAAAAGAGTGAATACACACACACACATATATATATATCCTCAATCTCATTTCTCAGATCCCTCTCTAGTTTTTTTTTTGTTTTTTTCCATTAATTATTGTGTACATCAATTAAATTTAAATGTACCCTTTTTGTTCAGATATTTTGATTTGTATGTGTGTTGTATATCAGGGGTTTTTTTGTGGGTTGGGTGGTTGGTTAGATGGTAAAAGAGAAACCACATGAAAAGAAAGGATTGTTCCTGCTCCCTTTTTCTTCCAGAAAATAAATAAATAAAAGGCCTTTCTTGGCAGTGTCATCAATAACTGGATGTTGGATGATGGATGTGAGAAAAAGCTAAATCAGGTCAGAACAATCAAACACAAAGTATGGTGTAATGTATCAAGCCTGTCTGGGCACACACCAAAGTTTGGCCAAAAAAGGGCCAAGTGCGCTGGGCCAATGGCAAAGCCCACTTGGCTGATCCCAAAGCGCGCATGGCACCCTCCCAACCCCCGCTTGGCACATGCCAAAGTTGGCAGGGGTCGGGACAAAGCCTTGCTTGGCCAAGCCCAAGCAAGTTGAAGGGTGCCAGGTCTGCCAGCATGCCAGCCAACAAGAAGGAATCCCCTCCTGATGGCGGCTCACAGGGGGCCCCCCACTCTTATAGGTTTGTACCGGTCATTGAGAGGGAGTTGTAATCCCTCTCAAAGGCCGGTACACACCTGTGCTGAGTTGGGGGCCAATGCTGGGCTGGTGCACAGGAGCACCTGAGCCACCAATTTAGAGATGTCACTTGGCACCTGCCACAACTTCAAACAATTACCTGAACACCTCCAGCCACCAGCTGTGCATTTGAAGGATGTATTACTGTCAAAGAAACAGTTCTGCATGCTCCACCTTGCAAGCTGGTGGATAGAACTGTCCAGGGCACCTTCTGAAAGTGTGGCAGGTACCTGCCAGCAGGTGCCAAGTGACATCTCTACACCAATTGGCCCAGCGGGACTTGGTTATGTGCCAAGTCCTGCCCCCCGCCTATTCTGGCCAATCAAGCCCCCTGGGAACATTCCCAAGCCCTGGTGGCACTCAGCCAAGTGGGACTTGTGATTGTGCCCAGACGGGCTTGATACACCACATATCCAGGAAAGTCAACCTACTGCTTTCAGAGGATCTTCACTGAGGGCTAGAGATGGTAGCGGGGTATCTGTTGCGGATACCCGCTATCCGCTGGCGGATACCCCTCAGAGCCAACGGATACCCACCAGGGGGTACATATTTGGCTGTGGATGGCCGCTTTTCCCCCCAAACCTGGAGGATATCTGGGTATCCCCAGGGATACCCAAGGCCAATAGTTTGAGAGACTGAGAGTGGCCGGCTGGATGGGTTTCCTTCCCACCGGCAAGGTGCTTCCAGTTGGCAAGGATGTACCATGTTGACTGGATGGGTTTCCTTCCAGTCGTCAAGGTACATGTACCTCATTGACTGGAAGGAAACCCTTCCGGTCAACAAGGTACATGTACCTTGCTGACTGGAAGAAACCCTTCCAGCCGGCGAGGTTGTGCCTCTCCCACCACTTCAAGGGCGGGTAACTGAATATACCTGCTCAGATACACGCTAAGGTGGGGGTGATACCTGCCAGCGGCTGCAGATGGCAATTCCCCTGGAAAAAGCAGCTGGATATCCGGATGCGCTGAGGCCATCTCTACTGAGGGCCCTATGTTTGGGGCCCACAAAAATGAGGTTGTGTTTGGACCAGGTCCAATCTTGTTTTTCAACCACAAGCAGCTGTATCAACCTCAAAAGTTGGTGTAATCCAATTGATATCTGGAGTTTGGTGTGCATGAGAGTGCGTGAAGAGGTTGGAGGGGGGAGGAATCACATTGGATGGGGGCAATCAGCTAGCCTGAGCCCAATCAAGTCTATATACATCACATTAAGGAAATTTTGACCCAAACTCAGCTAAGTCCTTTGACTTACACCTAAAACAACATTTTTGGCCGGCAAGGGGTACTGAAAATTTATGTTTTTTATCACTTCACACACTGCACTTTGATGTTTAGTAGACCAATGGAGGACTTCCCGTCAGATCTGGGACCCTTGCAGTTTGCAATTTAGACCCAAAAAGTCTAGATTTTGCAGGGAAATCTAGCTTTCGCGGCTCTAAACCAAAACTGGGAGACCCGTAGATGTTGACAGGAAGTCATCCAATCATAACTTCAGACATAGCCAAAATGCACTCTTATATCAATAGTAGTGTCTAGAGGCAGCTTTTACGCCAACAAATATTGTCCACTCATTTCATCAATTATTTAATTGTATTCCAAATAAACTAAAACTAAATCCAATTAATTTGCCTATTTCAACTACTTATCCTACCCATATTTTTCCATTTTCTTTCAACCTATTCTTACGTCCAATCTTCATCTGGATCTAATCCTTCTGTATTTTGTTCTCTAAATAATATCTTATTCACAACATTGATTACTTTGCTATCTGCTGATACTTGTGTAACAAAAAGATTTTGACATGTCTAACTCGTGATAGGCCCACATACAATTGACCATGGGCAAATACTTGATTTTCTAAGACTAAAGCCACACATTTCATACTCTGGCCCTGGCATTTGTTCATGGTCATAGAAAAATCTAATGCTACAAGGAATTGGTATCTATAAAACAAAAATTTTACTGTTGAATCTCCTTCATGAAGAAGTTTACTCTTTGGCACAAGCACTACCTTGTCTCTGAATAGGCCTGGGAGAATTCTTCCTTTGATTGCTTTCGGACTGAGCCCCTTGATAACTATCCTGGTCCCTTTGCAGAGACCTTGATCAATTCCTAAATTCTGCAATAGAACTATAGGTACTCCAACCTTAAGTTCTAACTCATGAGGTGGGAAGCCTGCAACATCTATCCTGTTCAAGGCTTCACACAGGATTGCGCCTTTGGCCCTAACATATGGGCGATTTGGGACTCCAAACCATTGCCCAATTCACTTTTGCTGTGTCTCTATTCAAATTTGTTAAAATCACCCTCTTGCCTCAGTAACTCCCATACAAGGTGCAATCTTGGTTCAACTTTGGATTCAACACCTTGTATATGTGAGCTATAGCCAGGTTAAAGCATAACTTAGCTTTCTTTTGGAAATTGACAATTATATTTTTAAGTCCAATTTGTTTGGCTACCTGAGTCTGGTTTGTTCCTTTCCCTATGCCTAATAATTCTTTGGCAAAACTCTTGTTCTGTTTGTTGTCCATGAAATGTATGCCAATACCAAGACAAAAATTGTCCTTGAGGCTGAATACTGATATTTTTGGCCACAACTTGGACAATTTTAAAGTCGCTTGTTCAGATTGTGGATAACGGTAATAGAGAAACTGGGACCGTGACAAAGTCTAATTAAACATATGCAGATTGAAAAAGGTAAATGTAGAGAGAAAAAAATTGGTTGAAATGTATAGGAATAGTAGATCTGAGAACAGATCATTGGAACTGGATCAGCAGTTGGATGCATTAGTGGAGGAGGGTCAACAAAAAAAGGTATATCAAAGCGGACATTTTACTTTAATGGAAGGATTAAGAGATTGAGGCGCGTGGAGGGAATTGATGGAAAAGATAAGAGATTGAGGCGCGTGGACGGGTTAAGTCATGGGTCATGGTGAACGCCTGGAGGAGGGGCAATGTAAACAGTTTGTAAGTAGCCAAAAAAGGGGAGTGAGAACAGGGAATCAAGACTGGGTTGGCAATTGAATGCATTCATAGAATTTAATGGAAGTGATAAAGGATTGAGGCACATTGAAAGGGCACATCAAGGTGCATCAGGAATAAGGGAAGATTCAAATGCGCCGAAAATGGGAAGATAAGAAGTGCATCAATGGATTGGAACTGGGTATAGGAATGAAAACAAAAGAGGGAGAAAAGTATCTAAGAGGGCAAGGGGTCTGAGTGATGGATGGTGTCTAGTCAAGGTGTGCAGGTTCAGTGCAATAATTAATGTCTTGTGCGCCGTTGCTAGTAGCAATACCTGTTACAGAGCACCGGTTTGAGGTTTTATGTTAAAATTTTTAATTCTTTTTTTTGTATTTTTCCCTTGGCTCAGTTCCTTTGAAATTGTGAAAAGGAATTAAAATGAAAATTGATCTCAATGCTGCTTTTCATCCTTCCAAGGCAGCTCGTTTTCTCATCAGTCCCTCAGCTGCTCATTCAATCCAAGTGAGATCAGAAAGCAAAAAAATTCTCACAACTTCAAGTCTCTGGTCAGACTTCCCAAAATTTGTGAGTGCAGCAAGTGCTATCAGCTTCATCTCCCAAAATCTAAACCATCAAAATTCCAGGAAAAAAAATCAACCAATGTTATACATTAAGTGTTTGTAAAGAAGGATGTGGCCAATCTAAAAGGCAATATACTTGACAAAAAAAGTTGATGGACTTTCAAACCAGAAAATCCCTGCCAAACAACCCAAGAAACTTTGGATGCAAGCTGTGGCAGACTTGACCCATCAAGATCAGAGCTATTTTGTCCTCCTTCTTCCAAGTTTTTTTTGTTGTTGTTTCTTCTTTGTTCGATGGATGTGAATTGATCAACAAATGGAGTTCAAATATTTACCAAAGAGTTCTTGCCAAGAATATATTGGTGTGCAGCACCTGGGAAAATTTAAATCTAAAAAAAAAATGACACTGCATGTTTCCATTTTTTTCCATCTATCTGGAGAGTATGTAGCCTTTTTTCAGAAAAGAAAAATCAACTTCTTGATCCGCAGATTTATTAATGATCAAGGGATGGGATGATGGGTCCCAACTTCTGATAGAATCAATTTGAGATGAATGCCTTTTCCATGGTCAAAACCATGTGAAAAAAAAACAATGAGTGGTTTTCAAGATTGAATTGTTTGAAATGTAAGGCTTACACCAAAACCCATCTTCCTGCCATGCAGAAAATCATGGATTAGGCACAAGTCCCCCTTCCAGGAGGCAGCCTTTGGATGCAATAATTGGGGGCAGCTGTGAAGAAAATAAGGCCAAGAGGCCAAGAAATACTTTTTGGATTCTGGCAGAAAGGGCTTAAGTGCTCTCTGCCAAGACTGATGAAGGGCTAAAGTGCTTCTTTCAGGAACGGTTTAAAAAGCTAAAGAACCAATGGTGTTTTAATTTCTCAATAACTAGGGTCTTAAATAGTCTAGCTACAACAATTGCACAAGATGTGGGAGCAGGTATTTATGCATATTGAATAAGAGATCAGGGTGACATGTGAAAGTGAAGAAAGAGGAAAAGAGAGATAGAGATCGATGAGCAAAAAATTCAACAAGCTGAGACTGGGGATCTGTGCTAAGTTTGCTTTGGACCCTTTTCCCTATTATAGGGCCCCACACGTGGGCTGTGGTGGCTGTAGACTTTGGGAATTGTGGGCCCTGTATGGGGGATAGGGCCTGCAGTGGAGATTTACTCAATGGTCTTGTGAGCATAAATGAGATACATTCAGGATATCTTGGGCAAAATAATATCACTAATGTGACAGGTCTGGTGGAATTGTTAGTTTTCAGTGGAAAATTTACATGTGTTGATTTGACCTTGCGTTAATGAGCCTTCTATACCCCCTTGAAAATTTTCTGTCTTCATAAGCAATGTATGAGTACACCACCAACAAGCTGTGTTGAATATACAGCTTTTCAGAATGATTCCCTTCCAAAAAGCTGAGTTTAATAACAGCTTTCCAGAAGGAATCCCTTCCAAAAAGCTGGGTTAAATACCAGCTTTTCAGAAGGAATCCCTTCCAAAAAGCTGGGTCTTAATCCAAATTGTTGGAAGTTATTCATTCTGAAAAGCTGGTACATAACCCAGATTATAAGAAGAGATGCCTTCCAATGAATTAGGTTTAAGGATTGCCAAGAAGTACCCATTTGCAGGTGATTCCTTCTGACAAGCTGGGTTTAATGTTTTTGCTTTTTTTGTGTTTGACCTTGGGAGTTGGAAGACTTCTTCAGTCCACCAACTTGGTATTCATTGCTGGAACTCCCTCTTCATTAGCAGGAGATTGACCTGCTCATTGAGAGATCTTGGCCTCTTGCTGAGCAGGCAAATGAAATTCTCATTGAGAGGTATTGCCTTCTTGAAAACCAGCAGACTATAAACCTGTTCATTGAGAAGGACCTTGTCAGCCTCTGGGTAACTAACATGAGTGTTTACTTTTAGTAGTAAAGGTTGTTACTATGAGTTGACTGAAGGTTTTGGGTGTGGTGAGTGTTAGGTAGTGGGTGATTAATACCAGTCCTGTAATGAGGAGGTTTCACTCTATCAGTATGGTCTTTACTGAGAGGCTTGCTATCAACAGTGCATCCGGATCAATACAAGGTATTAATAGGCATCCAGGGTACTAAGACTCACCTGGGATTGATTTGGTTATTCCCAAAAGGGAATGGGCTAACAATACTTATTAAGCTTTAACAAAATTAGTTGAAGATTAACAGGTATTGTTGATGGGAATATTCAGCAAGGCTATGAATATTGTGGATAAGTTGAGTAAGTGTACTGAAGCTTAAGAACAATAAATGTAGACTAGATTTATGTTGGTTATGTGCACTGTATCAATATAAATGTTAACTGGTTTAACTGGTGTCTGAATATTCTGGGGATTAATCAGTGAAGGTGGCACGGATTATAAGTTCCAGAATATTACAAGGGGAAATGAAGAAGTGCTCTGAATCACGGGTGAAAGTATCAGGGGGAAGAGCAGGGTTAATTGAGTAACTCATCTTTATTTGTAATGATCTGTTAGAGCTGTCATATTATTTATTAGAGGATCAGTAACTAGTATTTGTGACATGTACAGCTAACAGATCTTTCAAATAAAATCACAAATAAGGATCAGTACATGTATTGATTGTATTAATTCACTTGGTAATGCAAACAATACATGAACATTTTATTTGTAATGATTCTTGTCCGTGATGACTTTAAGGACAAGGATAATTAAGAATGAAGTCATTATTAAGATCACACAATAAATAATGAGGTCATTATTAAAACAGTACATGTATTGATTGTATTCATTCAATGATTAATTGATACTTAACATTCAAGGTATGTATATATTTATTTATAAAGGTATTTGACTGTGAAAATACTGTAGAACATGGATAACTTGTGGTACAGGTATTTCACGGGTAAAGGAGTGAAAGGTAAGTGATAATTACTTATGTATGAATCATGTATGTATTTAATAGATAAGTAATTAATCAGATAAGATAAAGTAAGATAAGATAAGTTAAAGATAATGATAAGATAACAAGAGGTAAAGGTAATCAACATTATGGATAAGTACTTATGTACATAAGTACAGGTGTTGCAGTTACTTGGTACATGAAAGGTACTGTGACATGTACTCTGGCTGACAGACCTCTCAATGAGAAGTTCAATTTCCCAAGCATATGGCCACATCCCCCTTTCAGTCTGCCAACTTCCAAGGTGATAGGAAAAAAAACTCACATCAACCTTGGAGGAATTGGGAAGACAACCCTCAGGGCAGTCTCAGGACTGTCAAGAGATGGTCCTTGCAATGTTCTATATATACTGGGTGAAAAACCCAGTTTTGCCATAAATCATAACAATACTGACTTATCCTCAATACCTTATACCCTAGGCTATACCATATATCATATACCATAAATTGGAGCTGTCCCCATGGTAATTGAACCCCCAACCTCACCAATCTTAGTTTGTAAGTCCACCAAAAAAGAATATGAGTTCTATTTAATTGCCTTGCTATACAGCCAAGATAGGGATGAGCTCCTTTATCCACTTGAGAAATTTAGAAATTGATATAGACCTTGTTCTCACAAGATCCCATTGGATGACTCCCCATTGGTTTGTGTTGTTAAATCACCAGACAATTATTTTTACCTCTGTTGTAGCTCTTGTGGTGTTCAAATTTAGGTATGCAAACCATTATGCATTGATACATTTTCATAAATGATCAAATATTGTTTGCAGGGAATCTTGACAACCTGATTATTTAATCTGGAGGTTTCCCACCAAAAGATTTGATTATCGAAATATGCATGCATAGTTGTTTGCATATTTAACTTTGAACACCACGATTGATATAATAATCGAACCAGATCAGTGAAAATACATTTGTTTAAAAAGCCCTCATAAAAATCATAGCAGTGACCATAAAATGGCTTGCAGGTGACGCCATGGTGACTGTGTTAATGCGGCCCATTGATGGTCCCCACAGTTTCCGCCGGAGAACACTAGCTTTGATGTACCGCTCTATTATACAGGGAAGACATTGAATCAAAAGAAAGAATGGGTGCTAATGGATTTTGAATGTAGTAACTTGTTTTACCGGTGAGTTTTCTCCACAAGGTACCGGGCCGGCGAATAAGGCCGGTTAAAGTGCAATTGCGGCACACTGGTCTGCTGCGCGGAGGGCAAGCAGCTCCCGGCTTCCGCTACCCGCTGGGATTCCATTGTGGCCGTTTCAGCACACAAGCTCGACATAGAAACCTTGAAATGCGAATATCGATATGATGAAAGGTTTGAGTTGACGGATGAGCTTCAGCAGGCAAGCAGATTAATGGCTTGTGTACGATTAGTAAATTCGGCCTTCGCGTCTCGACGATTATCCGTAGGCTTCAAAATGCTGCATAACCTTGCATAACTGTATGTCCAACTTGCACAATTTCAGTGCGATATGGCCAAGATTGCTAATCGTTTCTCCATCGAGACTTTCTCCAGCAAAAAAAACATCCGTCTCAATTGCAGATTAACTATTCAAGTGAACATGAATATTTGTTCATTTCCAGTTATGTTGCTTCCTATGTTTGATTGTTGTTAGTGTTTGTGTTTCACAAGGACTAAGCAGATATGTAGTGTTGCATTGTCGAGCGTTAGAGTCAGAGCCAACAACTCAAAAAATTGGCTCGTACATTCTGCTTGCATGTTTCGTCACTTCTAGAAACCATGATAACATGCTAGTTCAAAAAGTCACGATGTACCCACAACGATCACGAGTGTTTCCATACAGATGCACGGGTGCGGGCCAGCGAACCGTCTTCGGTGACCGTAGGCAATGACCTCTGGGCTCTGCCCCGGCTCCATATCCAAGCTCACCCGCTAACGGTTTCTTATCAGAGGAATGCACTGTTTTGCAGGCGTGGTTGAATCATTTCCGGAGCCGTGATGCAATAATCATATCTGAAGACGACAGCGGAGCAGCTCCACAGCCGACTTGTGTGTTCAAGACATCCTTATAAATACTGCCTCATCTCCACCCCCAAAAGTTATCCACTAGCTTGGGTTGTGCCGCTATTCATCTCACGCCTATAGTACCACCCATCTTCTAGCTAATTATTCATACTTCTCGAAGCCCTCTAACCTGCTATTATTTACCAGAATTTCCCGAAAACATGCACCTGCTCTTGGCTATGCTTTGTCTTTCTGCATATGTGGCACTCTTCAGTATGCATACTACTTCCAAGCCCTCAATGCGCTCAGCTGAGCGAAAATCAGGAATTTCTTTAAGCTTTGACTCCGTAGACACGATAAAAGGAGAATCTATCAACTCCAGAGATTACGGCTTTGAACCGCAAAGTCCGTCGAATGGCTACGCCAATAGCCGAGCCATGAAGAAGGCTGAGTCTTTCAGAACCAGACCTGCTGCTTTGGAATCTACCGCCCCCAGAGAAATCGGCTTTGCACCGCAGAGTCCGCATGACTACGCCCAAAGTCGCCAATTTCAAAGAGGATCCAGTACCCGAGGCGCGCAGCAGGATGGGTCCAGAGCTGGTGGCTTAAGCTACCTACTCAGGAATGAAGTCCAAGCATCTGGTAAGTCATCAATCAAGTCCGTGTTTCTGGTTGGAAAAATGATCTATTTGTTTGCGGTTTCCATGACTCTGACGATAACTCTGAATAACACTGACGGTCTTCACAAATTTGACAGGTCCAAGTCTTACAAGAAAAGAGGGTAAAAAATCTTCAAGAGAGCGTGTTTACCTACCTCTCGATTGCAATCATGCCACTCGGCATGATAATCAGGATGAAGAATACACTGAGACCCAGATCTATGAAGGCTGGTAAAGTGTCGGGCCTTTCTGGTACGTCTCAGTTACCAGTGAATCCACCCAGAAACAACGAACAGCCAAAACCACATGATGTAATTAAACCAGCTATTGACTAATTGATCTTCATTCTTCATTTCTAATCTGGGTTTCTTTAGTGTTTTTCCGTCAGCTGGCCTCAATCTCTATCCACTTCTGAAAGCAAATCATTTGGCATAACTGGATTGTATTTTGGCTAATTTGGTGCTTAATAATATTCCATTTCCTACTTGCTAGCTACACACGCTTCCGGATCTAATGTGGCCTTATCTTTGACTCTTCTGATCAATTCCAATATTCATTTAATGATTTAAAATTGTTCCTAGTACTACCCATAACCATCTTACCAATTTAACAAGGCCTTTCTCAATGGTTGTCAATGGTTGTAACAGTTCCCCACATGTTTAACTAATCAAGCTGGCTCAGAAGATGGATGTCCTTTTCTGTCAAACCTAGTCAGTCCCACCTTCTGGGCTAACTTAACCCAAGGGGCCAAGTCCCTCAATCAAAGGGCCTGCACACTGCCAACATAATTGGCTGGGTTGAGGGCATCCCAATTTTACTGGGATGCACTCAACCAATTTAAACTTGGTTGAACTCCGACCAATGAAATATAAATTCAAGGCCTTGGATTCACACTCCATTGGTTGAGATGCAACCAAGTTTAACTTGGTTGATTGAATCCCAGTTCAACTAGGATACCCTCAACCTAGCCAATTATGTTGGTAGTGAGCTGTTATTGCCAGGCTGGGCAAGCCTCCTCACTTCGTGAGGTGCCCATCCCCCCATGCAAGCCTTGAGAGACAGACCCGTTATGCTCACTTTTTCAAGTTTTATGTAACCTTGTAACCCGGCAAATACAAGCAGGCGTCCACATTTTACCACCCTTTCATGTTCCAAAAGTAAGGTCCGTCTACAGGGCTTGCTTTTGAGAGAAGACATGTATATATAGAGCATCAGGCAGCTCACAAGTGCACTTGCTTTGCCACACATTATCTGTTGAGTATACATCTTGAGAGTTGCAAATGGCGAAAAGGTACAAATCAGAAGGGCTTCTGTTTGAAGCCAACGGGGCTTCAAAATATAAAGGTGGATGGAATACCTAATCAGAGATGTCTATTTCTTTGTGCCGGATACTAACTACTTGACAGTCAATAACTTGAAACCAGAGGAGCTATCCAGCGGGAGACACCACAAGAAACCTGGAAACATTGGCAAAGCGATAAGACACAATACGGGAATATTTTTATTACATTTCTGTTTTATTTTCATAAGCTGGACATGGAAGATCTTCTAAAGGGAGGGCACCATGTTGAGAGGCTTTTTCTCATTAGGCCCTTTATAGCTTGGGCTTCCCACTAAGCACTGAAACGAGACCGAGGTCAGCTACTGCCAGACCATGAGCAAATAAGACGATATCACACAATTTGAAACTCACTCCCGCTTCGCCATTTCGCATACGAGATCGACAACTCGTCGGGAGTAACCCCACTCGTTGTCGTACCAGCTGACAAGCTTGACAAAGTTGGGGTTCAGGCTGATACCAGCCTTGGCATCAAAGATGCTCGAATGGCTGTCACCAACAAAGTCGGTAGAGACAAGGTCCTCGTCGGTGTAACCCAAGATGCCTTTGAGGGGACCCTCAGAAGCAGCCTTGATGGTAGCTTTGATTTCATCGTATGAAGCCCCCTTCTCAATTCGAACGGTCAAATCGACCACCGAGACATCGGCAGTTGGCACTCGGAAAGCCATACCAGTAAGCTAAAACAGAGAAAAGAAAACCACAGCCATGAGTAAAGATCAAGCTATAATCAACTACAAAGGACGAACTTTGCCGTTGAGGGCCGGGATGACTTTGCCGACAGCCTTGGCAGCTCCGGTGCTTGAGGGGATGATGTTGGCAGATGCACCACGACCACCACGCCAGTCCTTACCCGAAGGACCATCAACAGTCTTTTGGGTAGCAGTGCTGTAACAAAAACGCGAAATGTGTCAAAGTTAGGACTTATAAATCTCCCATAATTGCAAAAGGCTTACGTGGCATGCACGGTGGTCATAAGACCTTCAACGATACCATACTTGTCGTGAATGACCTTGGCAAGGGGGGCTAGACACTGTCATACGATGCGGGTTAGACAGGAACAATAGACACAAAATCGTTGTTGAATCAAACACCCACGTTGGTCGTGCAAGAGGCGTTTGAGACGACAGTTTCCTTGGGGTCGTATGAATCAAGGTTGACACCTTGAAGAAAAAGGTTATGATTGAGTCAGTATGGTTTGTCATCCCACACAGGTGCCCAGTGAGTACAACACTCACCGACGACATACATCGGAGCATCTGCAGATGGTGCAGAGATGATAACCTTCTTGGCACCACCTTTCAAGTGAGCGGAGGCCGCCTGCTTGGTGGTAAATACACCAGTGGATTCGACAACGTAATCCGCGCCAGACTTGCCCCAGGCAATAGCGCTAGGGTCTCGCTCGGAGTAGACATCAATGGACTTGCCGTCGATGACAAGCTTGCCGTTGGAGGTGCTGACATTACCCTTGAATCGGCCGTGAGTGGAGTCGTACTTGAACATGTAAACCTGAGGGGAAATCGGATCAGTGAAAAATCCGGCTACTGATATGAGCCCACAAAATTAAATTGCTTACCATGTACTCAAGATCGATGAAGGGGTCGTTGATTCTGATTGGTGACAAGTTGGTATCAGTGATCGGCGATACATTACAATGATGACATCACCGGTCAAGACAAACTCACGCAACAACCTCAACGTCGCCGTGGAGCATAGCATTTCGTACGACAAGTCGACCAATACGGCCTGATCGAGGGTCGCTTGGAGTTAGCCATCAGAAGTAAGGAACGCAAGACTACGTAGCCCAAGGGCTAGGATGATGACTGACCAAAACCGTTGACTCCAAGTTTGACTGGCATTTTGTTTTAGTTTTAAAAGGGGATTGGGAGGTTGAGGAGAGGTATATCGATCTACTGGATGGAAGTATCAAGGTGGGATTCTAGAGTGTTCAAGAGATGGATGGGCAGTGGGAGGAAGGGAGAGGTGGCTGGGTTTATATCTGCGTCCCTTGGCTGCCGGCGGGGTCCGGTTGGGGCAAGTCAGTTGAGCTGCGGCGCGTCAATGACGCCAGCACACCCCGCCGCTACCCGACCGGCGCTCGCCAAGAATTGTTTCAGCATGTTCGCTGTCACACTGAATCTAATTTTGCTCAACACACCTGACCTACGAGTTTAACCCGTGTACACATGCAAGAGTCTGGCGATACGGGGTGAACCGGGTCATCATCTGGTTTCGACTACTACTGAATCCTGATGTCTGCCAACTGTATGTCTTCCGGAAGCGATTCAGCCAAGGGCTCCATGTGTCGATAGGCACACCTATGGATAATTGATCTGCCCAGGTAACCTTACAACCAGCACCTCCAATAAATGTGTGTGGCCTTCTAGCTTAACAAAGCCTCTCCCGGGGCGTCCCCGCGGGACGCTCTCCGTAGGAGAGGCTTATGAGTCAAGTCAAAAAGTTGGCTGGGACAGGAAGGCTTTTCAAGCCTAATACCACATAATAATTTTTCAAAAAAAAAAAAACACTTACTTGAAAGAAATTATGAATAGACAGTTTTGTCAATCATATCAATGAGGATTTGGGATTCATAAGTTTGATTTCCGTGTGGATCTTGGTTGATTCTTGTTTTGGGTTTTTGAGGAAAAATCATTCTTCAAAAAAATGTAGAAGGGGAACCAGGGCAAATGAAAGGATGAGACCGCCTTCAAATGAAAGCTGGGACCCAAAAGTTTAATCTGGCTCTGAGCCAGGCTTCTAGAGGATTAGGATAAGGAGCCAGAGCCTTAACAAATTTCATTCCAGCCATTCTTATTTCCCGTGCCAGCCCAAATTTTGACTTTGTACGCAAGTCCCATGCCTTGGTCAAACAAGTATGGAGGTAAGTAAAATCCAAGCATTTATGTGGGGGATCTTAGTCAACTGCCCAAGCACCAACATGGAAACAAAGAGAAAGAAAGGCCTTGGATTACTCTTTCCAATTGAATTTTAGCACAAAGACCTTACAAGCCATATCCTGAGGAATTATTAGATTCAGATTCAAGGCTTTTTCTGGCTCTCAAGGTGGCAAATTGACGCAGTAGCCTGGTTCATGTAGGGTGTTTTTATGACAAGTGTCTTGCTTAAATGGTGTGTGGGACTCTGCCAGAATTTCAGCAAGGTGTTGTTGGGCATAGCTTGTCACAGAAATTTTATTTGCAGGCAAGCAGCTACATGAAACGGGCTAATTTCCTCAAGGAAATAACAAGATCAAGATGGAACTGTGCTTGCATTGTCCAAATGCATGCAAATCTGTAGTTTATTTCACAGATTGATCATTGAAATAACCAAGGTAATGGAGGACTTCCTGTCATCTAAATTTGTAAATTTACAAGGAATGGCTAACACTTATTGGCTGGTGAAAATTGTTTGACCTCAAGAATTCACCAGCAAACAAAGTTTAGCCGGTCCGTCTAAATTAAGCCATCTGGTCAACAGGAAGTCCTCCAATTAATAAATTGAAAACAAAATTTAAAAAATGACACTTTACTGTGGGATCATGACTGGTTAAATCCCAATTTTGATTTGAGGAGAATTCAGAATGTGTTGATTGGGGTCCTTGAGATTTAAATTTTGCTGCAAAAATTTGGTTGAGTGCTACTACAGTCTACAGCCCCTTGACAGAAAAAATGGAACCCTTTAATTAGAGTCTGGAGGGCAAACCAGTGGACTAAAATTCAAAATTTGTGGTGAAACAGTGGAAAATGAGTTCCAAAGAATCATTCTGAAATGTTGGACAGAAAAATTTTTTGTAAATTTGTCTTCATTTTTCTTCACTTCTTAATATTTTTCAATCATTTTTCAAAGGAGCTCAAAAATCAAGATCAACACAGTTGCATGCAAAAAGAACATTTAAAAATGAAAAATTGAGAAAAGTGATCAACAGCTGTTTTTAAGCAGGTTTAGAATGTGGCAATGGCATGCAACAGACCAACCCTGCCACAAGGCACTGAAATCAAACTTAATTCCAATTGAAGGGTTGGCTGTCCAGATTGGATCCAAAAAAGTAAATTCTAGTGCCTTACTACAATGTGAGCTGGTGAATGCCCTACTCAACAGCTGTTTAAAACCACCTGGTAACCTTTTTTTTAGAATTTCCATTTATAATCATTCTTCCCATTTTCCATTCTTTCTTTCTTCCAGCGCTGCCACTCCCCCAAAATGAATATCAAAGCTTTTGGAAAAAAACATTTTCATTTTTTTTATTTTTCACACAGTTTGAAACTCTGTTTTTTGTATTTGGTTTTTTCATATTCATTCTTTGGGACCTATTCTTCACCACTTCACCAATTCTTGTGACTTCAAGTTTGTGCTTTGAAGCTCTGGAATCCAAAATAAGCAGCCAAAAAAAATGGTCCACCCAATGTACAACTCTTGCTAGCCAAGAGGAATCCCTCTCACCCATGTATGCTCTTGATGGCCAAGAGGGATTGCCCTTGGCTGCTGAGAGCTTTCCATGCCCAACTCCCAACCCCCCTGGGGTTTTCAAAGTATTGGCTCCCAAAAACCCCTAATACCTTGTATTGATCTGGATGTGCTGTTGATAGCAAGCCTCTCAATAAAGGCCATAATGATAGAGTGAAACCTCCTCTTTACAGGACAGGTATTAACACCCACTACCTCACACTCACCATTCTCAAAAACTTCAGTCAACACTCATAGTAACAACCTTTCTCAATAAATACCTCAGGTTAGTTACACAGAGGCTGACATTACTAATATTATACTAAAAAGTGAGCGGTATTTTAAGGAGTTTATTTTTGATTTACTAGTGCACATTTCTTCAAATATCTTGATGAACTAGTAACAACACTATTCCTCTTATATTCTCAGAGCTCAGGCACAGGGAAGCTCATTCCACTGTTGTCCCTTATTATTATAAGGAGCAAACCCCTTCAATTTTAAGTTTTTACGAGAGGTTCCCTTCCACTAGAGATGGCCTCAGGGTATCTGTTGTGGATACCCGCTATCCACTGGCGGATACCCGCCTGGCCAATGGACACCTGCCAGAGGATTTGGATTTGGGTGCAGATGCCCAATTCTCCTCGGAATCCTGGATCTCCAGGGATACCTGTCAGAGGGACCCTCTTGGCCTTGAGACCTTTTACAGTCTCAAGGCCAAGAGAGCTTCCTCTCAGCCTGGAGACGGTACTTTCTCGAGGCCAAAAAGGCAAAACATTGTTAACTGGAAGGTCTTCCTTCCAGTTTACAAGGCACATGTACCTCATTGACTGGAAGGAAGACCTTCTGTTTGACAAGGAATGTGTACCTTGTTGGCCAGAAGGAAGACCTTCCGGTTGATTGCTGGCCGCCCCCTCCAAACACCCTTGGTTTAAGGGGCAGATATCCAAAAATACCCGCTAAGGCAAAGGTATGCCCCCCAGTGGGTGTGGATGGCTGATTCCCCTGAAAAAGCAGCCGGATATCCAGATGCTTTGGGGCCATCTTTACCTTCCACTGACCACCTCTTTGTTTATAGTGAGACCCAAAAACCTATCAGCACTTGGTCACATAAGAGATCAGCACTGGGGGTTTATTTATTACAGAAAAAGTTTAAACAATCCTTCAGGGATTACTTTAAAATGTAAATAAATCAAAAAAGTGTTCCTGCGGGGGGCATGTTTTCCATAGATGCAAGTTTCCCCTTTCATCCGCTTGGTTCCAGGTACCTCCCATATTTGGTGTTTTCTCTCTATCAATTCACACCAGGTCGGTAATAGACCACGGCAGGTTTCCCATGTCTTGCATTTCTACATGGCTCGGTTGCCACCAATGCGGCCTTGTTACATCCTCGAGATAGACATTCATATTGTTTGACCCGAATGTTTTCCCTACAGAAATCAGAATCACTGAGAAGCTTGGATCGCAATGTTCCACAGCCAAACCTTTCAGTGATGCCTGTCCAATGTAGACTCTGGTCTGTGCCACACTCATTACAGTTACGGGGCTGGTAATAATTTAAATGTATCACATGTCCTCTGCAACAGATCTGTATGGCACCTAGTGCACCTGTTCCACAGCTAGAACATCTGTACCCCTTGGCCCATATTTTTTCTCTGCAGGAAGCATCTTGTTGTTGCAACTCGCCGCAACGTACCTCCCAAGGTTCACCTCTTTCTGCATGAAGGCTGTCACTGTCCAGACACTCGCCACATTTAGCAGCCAAAATTTTGGCTGGAAGTATGAATGCCAGGGCTACATAGACAAAGTGGGTGCTGTACATGATGAACCTGTGGTGGGTTTGAGCTGGGAATTGAACTGGATACTTGCAGTATATCTGGGAATGAAATGCAATGAGCTCTTGAAGTGGAGCAAGAATATCTACCACTATGCTAGCAATGCATGTTGGCTAAGCCAAATCTGATTATTTATTCATTGCTGGGGTTTGAAGTCCAGTCAATTTGCCAGGCAGAACATCTCTTAGACAAGGAACAGATTTTGTCAGGAGGAGTTTCTCTCAATGAATGCCTTGGAACCCCCACACATGGTCACACCTGCTTCTTTTCCCACACTGGTGCACACCATGTGTGTGCCTAGTGTCAATGTTGGGTTGCTACACTACACTACAGTACAGGGCCTCTTAGTAACACTGACCATTTTTTGTGTAGTGTTAGGGTTATGCTACACTAGAGCACTTTTACAAAAAAGCGCCGTAACGCAGCGTAGCAGACCCTTTTTTGTGCTCTGTGTGCGTAGCATCAGCGCAGATACACAGAATTGTGCCAACACTACACTAAAATGTAGCACATTTTTTTGCCCTGTGTGCACAGTGTTAGCACAGAAATGTGGGATTGTGCTAACACTACACCAAAATTTAGCGTTTTTTTTGCTACACTATGCTACAATAATGCTACGGTCAGAATAGCTGGCGTGCATGAAGGAAAAAAGGGTGTCCTTCATTTCAGTCAAACCATTTCAAGTATTCAAGATTTTCCAATCAGATTGCTTCTGATTAACAAACTATAACTGGGTGCGGGTATTTGATCACTATGCACAAGGAGGGAGGGAAAGAGTTAATTAAGGGTTACTGATGAATTCAGCTGAATTTGTAGTTTGATCTGTCTCCCAAAAATCCCCACTATCGGATTTTGAGAATTCAAGCAAATTGGAGGGAGGATTGTCGATTCCAGTTTGCGTGACGGGTTACCCGTGAGTATCCACGGAGGCCAGATGTCTTCCCCCGATGATGACGTTATGCCGGCACACCACCCAGTCCCGACTCCCACCCTGTCCCATCACTCCCCAATGACCATCAGGCCCCAGGGTTCAGCCGGTACATCACTATACACGAATATTTCTCTCTTGGCCAGGTCAAGGAGCCTCGATTGCATCCGCCGTCTACCAACTTCGCCTGACTCGACCAAATGGCTCCGTTGACGCTCGCGAGCGCAAGATATGGCAAGGAAAAGGTCCGAGTTTTCCGAGTCGTCAAAAGTGGTACTTGGCATGAGGTCGTAGAATATACCATCAGCGTGCTGCTGGAAGGGTCAGTTTACATACGTAAATAGCATCATGAAGGTTTCTTTTCTTGTTTTGATGCATTCGAAACTGATGGCTCTTTGTGGTCTTGTTCAGTCAGATCGCTTCGTCTTACACCAAGGCGGATAATTCGGTTGTAGTTGCTACCGACAGCATGAAGAATACTATAAACGGTCAGTGGAATAATTGGACAGAATGAATATAATCCATTGTTCCGTGCATCATGCCTATATGTGATAATCTGATATGAGTGTGTTACTGTTTGTGACGAATCCTCGGGCTCAAGTGTTTGCCAAGACCTCACCTCACGTACTTACACCCGAGCTGTTCTCGTTGCACCTTGGCACACATTTTGTTTCTGAATACGAGCACATTGGAAAAGCTATCGTGACCGTCATCTCACATCGATGGTCCCGCATCCCACTCGATCAGAAGCCGCATCCTCATGCATTCACCCGTGACGGCAATGACGTTACACGAATCGAGGCGATTATCACTAAAAGCAATAGTGGCTCAACTTCTGCTGAGTTGAGCACTGGTCTGCAGGATCTCCTGGTCTTGAAAACCACCGGAAGCGCGTTCGAGAACTTTATCAGAGATAAGGTAGGGTTTCTCATTTTTGGATCTGAATACCCATTCATCCCACTATTCTAATGTTGAGATTGTGTTCTTTGTCCGAAAAGTGGACCACGCTTCCCGAAGCTTCAGATCGAATTCTGTCGACCTCTGTTGATTGTCGATGCGCTATCAAGATAAATCTTCCATCAGACGGCTCACTTGCCATTTCTTCCCTTGCGAATCTGGGAATCGACTTCAAGGCGATCGGCAAATCAGTCAGGGAAATCACGCTTGAAACGTTTGCCACCGATGAAAGCGCTAGTGTTCAAGCTACACTTTACAAAATGTGCCAGCTCATTCTGACTGCTCACACTGAGATTCTCAGCGTATCTTACAGCCTTCCCAATAAGGTAAATACATCGCTTACTCATACTCTTCTTGACGAGATCCACTCGTGTCATTGTACTGACCTCCTACCACAACCAACCCTACCATTTCCATCTACAGCATTACATTCCAATCGATCTCAGTTGGCATGATAATATCCAAAACACATCCGTTCAAGATGCAGAGGTTTTTGTGCCTCTGGAAGCACCGTCAGGTTTGATCACTGCCACTGTTTCAAGATAATCTTACTCCTGCTGGTACACACTTGGCATTTCTTGGTTGAGCAAGGCTAATTTGCTTGTAACATCTTGTTTATGGTGACCGGATGTCAAGAAAATGCTTCAAATTTGAATACACTCACTCATGTAGATGTACACTACGTTTTCAGAAAAGCTTGTATGTTTGTCTCCCTCAATTTTTTTGTATGTTTGTCTCGTTCAAATTTTATCTGCCGCACTTTTCCTTTCTGGGAACTGCTCAGAGATGTGTTAAACGGATCTGCGACGAGCGGGAAATATAGTAATCCCTTTTTCCGCGTTTTTTAGACCGAGTTCTGCAAGCCTCTCTTCAATCCTTTTATCTCTTTTCTGTGTTGATGTAGTCGTTATGTGCGCACCATTCAGATCCGCTCCGTCGTATTCCTTTTATGTCACAATCTCTCATCTATTATATTTCTCTCTCTTGTACATAGCTGTACCCGGTGAAGCCGACAGCGGACCATCGACATCGTGCCTACAGTACAGAAATGCAACCCTCAAGTCATTTTCTCACAACTTTCCATCCCAACGCCCCATGATGGTTCATGTAGACAAAGACGAGCGCAACCCCACAGTGAAACCATTTGACAAAGTTCGGGTTTTGGGACAGTTGTCAGTAGGTCGCACTAGCTAGGCGGTTCGGCCCACGGAACTTCACAAGCCTTCACTCCTTAACTATGCGGCTCACCGTATAAATCACTTTGTACAAGAACCAAGAATTAAAACAGCTCTACAGCACATTTCTTTAACATATTAAATTCACTAATATGCACAGGCGATCTGATTGAGACTGATAAGATCAAGAAAATTTTGCTCATTATGATGGCTAGTTAGGAAGATTCTACTACTAGATGATTTAGATTATAGAGAAGAAAAAATGCGCTATAAAATATTTTGGGTACAGAGAATTCGAGTATAGAAGAGATGGTATGAAGAATCTGTATTGATTAACGATGCGGCATAGAGTAGATAGACTATTTCGATGGCCTCCTCCTTCGAAGAATGGGGAGACCCTCACGACCCAAGAAGTAGCTCGGATGAACGGAGAAAACAACCTACAAGAAAACAGGCAATGAGGAAATTTTGATTCAGTACTCGACTTTGCTTTGCGATTTGATCAATCTCCTTTTGTCTTGACAAAGGGTCGGAAACTCACGCATCTGCCAAAGTGACATCCAACACCCGCAGCGCCAGGTATTTCCATACAGTTTCGTCCTTCATGTTTACTTACACAACCACCGCAGCTGGTTAGTTCAGATTGAACCTAAAAGATAGTGTTCAAAAATAGAGGATAGAGCGTTTGAGTGTCGGATCATAATTTTACCAAGTCGCAATAACAAGCGATGGATGAACTGACGTCAATGCATTCGATACCAGTGGAATGGGGACTGATTGGACAGGCAGTTTCTCCCGTGGCTGAATGAACCCAGAAAATTATGAGACACGTGTATAGATATCAGACATCCAACTTCAAAAAGCGCGAAGATCGTGAAGTTACGAAGATTTGAGTAGACGATGGAAGCCTTACGGCATTGGCTTAGATCAGTTGATTTTAGGTCCCTTCGCGCCTTGGTCTGCCGCTTGTAGTAAGCTCCACTAGCGACTGGTTTTGGAGATTCCCATTCCCAGATGTGTTTGAAGCCAGATTGACAGGTATCATAGGTTTCCTGGCAGCAAAGGGTCATCAAAATCTCTTAGCTGAAAATTGTCAAACGCGAAAATTAACCAAGAGGACACACACATACCTTGCAAGCTTGAACCGGTTTGGAATATGAGGGATGTCCTCCACTCTCGGGAAGCACGTTAGGGTGTCCGTAAACACTCTCTAGCTTGGAGCCACATGAGTACCAATGCTCTTCAACGCTTGCCTTGTAGGTGGAATCTGAAGCCAACCAGGGCTTGTCGCCGTAAGTGGAGGCTATGTTTTTCCAGGCCGATTGTGCTTTCTGAAGCGAATCTTTGGCGCTTTCACACAGCTGATGAACTTCAGGGTGTCTATAGGAAAGCACAAATGTGCGTCAGTCTCGAGGAATTTATTCCGGCTACTGACGGTCTTGGAATGACCGGTTCATCACAGCCTCTCAACAATCGGCGCAATACTACCCCCAACAAGCTCGACGTTGTTAGAATGCAGGCATGAATTTGAATCCACCAATGGTCAACGCGGCAAAAATGGCTGCTCTGGAGCCACATTCATGGAGGGAGGTTAAACAATGAAAGTGCAACAAATGTCTTACCCGTTTGTTTGAGCTACCCATTGGAGCTCAGAAATCTTGTCATCCAACTGCACCATATGATTATCAACTGAATTAAGTTTGGAATCGTAGGCGCCTCCGACTATTGGGTCGAAAATGTACCCAACCAACAAAGAAAGAACCGTGGGCAGAGAATAACTAAGCTTCATCTTAGGAAGTGTGAATGGGCCGAGTAGATGATAAACAAAGGCTGGCAAGATTAATAATTGTTCAAACGAATGTCTGCGTGTCTTCAGTGTTTTGACGAGCACCTCTGAGCGCGCCAACTTCGTTTAAGTCGGTTACTTTGATTGAGAAGTCGGGGAGTTTTTTGACTTCGATGTGCTTGGGGAGAAGTTCTCAAGAAGAATTTATCATCAAGTATACATTCAACCTTTGGTGTGAGACTGGATTCGGCTCGACTCCCGTTAAGCTGCCAAAAGGGTTATTCGGACGCTTATCGTCCTCTCGAGTTGGGTTTTCGTTGGCGAAGAGATGAAAGGGCAATTGCCTTGTTCGAAGAGCTGAAGGCTGAACAATCTGTTTTGCAGCTGGATTGCTACGCTTAGCTACGTGTGACTCTACTTTATATTTGATCCTTCCAAAAAGCGTTGGGGAAACTGGGCTTCAACTGGGCAGAAGTGAATTTACTATGAAAAAAATGGCCGAGCAGGTTATTCGAACTACCACGACCAAATTGTCACACATCCTCGTTAGATAAGCGAAGTTTGTGATCACCAAGGGACCGAGAGGGGCCGGTGTTTTGTATTTCTCTCCTGGTGAAGTTTGAAGCTGCTTACGAATAAGATGACTCGGATGTCCAAATTGAAGAATTTGAGGGTATGCGATTTCCCTCTTCTGATGGTCTCGATGCGATCGGTGGGTATCCAAACAATGTGCCTGAAAGAGCAGCCTTTCTATCACTGTTTTCAAATGGAAACTGTTTGATTATTTGCACTTTGAGGCCCTATGAGCAATCTCAGGACGATTTTTAAGTCAGCAACAAGAAAGTTCCTTCACGAAAGCAGCGGTAATAAGGAATGGATGAGGATGATGACCGACAATGTCAAGCGAGGAAATCTCAGAGCTACAAGTGATTAGGGTCCTAACCAACTCATGACGAGAGTCCGAGAGGAGAAAAACCACGGGCGGCTATAGAAGCAGAGCAAATGGCAAGTTCCTGGGGAAGAACGCCAGCCGATGATGAAAAAGGAGGTGGAGATTCGCGTTGCTTTCAACAACGAGACGCAACACATATAGACAAGCAAAGGGTACTAGGCTCAAAACCAGGGTGCTGGCCACTAACTGATTGAGGGGGGGCATTCATTTTGAAAGTTAGTTGATGTAGGTACATACTACTCTGGGAAGAATGCGCTTTATAGTGTAAGACTTTAGTGGAGAATGGTTCGAAGGAGCTTCTGGAATTGGCTAAGAACTCACAATCGATTCTTAGCTGCAACGATGGCCCCCGGAAGATGTCCACTTGCTCATCCAATGATACCTCAAAGAAGAGGAATGATCCTGGTTTGGCACAAATATAGCCAATTCCATGGCAGTTCCAGGTCCCAGGATACTAGTATTACAAGCAGAGCTGGAATAGTGGGATCTGAATCTCCTGATTGCTCCCTTGCATTCAAAAAAGATAGCAAATCGGATGTTGAATCCATGCCGTTTACAGCTTCACTCTCCTAACTATGAAGGCCTAAGTATGCAAGATCCAGTCTTTGATGAGAATCGGAACAAAGCTATTAGATAATTTCATGCTTACACCTGCCGCAATGCAGTGGACTGGGTGCTATGCCTATGTGGGGGTTTCAAAATACTTATTCACTATTATCAAACAAATCTATGTTCATCAGGAAGTCTGGATTCACAGAAGACAAGTATTATCTGCTCATCACATCCCAGACAACATTGTCGTTATCCGATTTTTGAAGCGCCGGTACAAGGTATCTTTGAGCTCAATCAATCGACATACTAAGCAACGATAGATTTTCTCAGTTCTCTTCCCGATCATCTGCCAGAAGCTTTTCTGGGTGAATAAAATTTTCCCGAGTCGTGAAGTCCTCATGCGAGAACTGCAAAGCATCAGAGTAAAACCTCCATATCGACAATCGGGGCGGATTCTTCTTGGTGTGGCATGTGTACCCCTTGTGATAACTTTCCCGCTCACCATTCCTTGTCCACTCACTAGGGATAAGTCAAACCCTAAGGCTGAGGAATTGACTAAGCCTGCGTTTTTGCTCAGTAAGGCCATCGACGAACTTTCTGGTCTACATGTGCGCGACCCTGGATGAAAAGAAAGAGACCTCATGGGTAAACTAGTCTCTACCTGCATAATTACTGTATGTATTGAGGGAAGCCAGCATTCTCTTGCTGGGGCAGTCTATGTATATGAGCAGTTTTCGGTTGACTTTTCCGAAGAGGCTTCATGCAACTTGTGTGCTAAAATACCCCCACCAATGTCTCCCCTTAAACAAATTGTATGCAGAGATTAGGGGGGTTCACAATAGTCCTTCCCGAGCAAGAGTCGTGGCATCCGCGATAATTTTCTCGGGTCCTGCGCTGCGGTGCCGCAGGAGTTGCGCACTCAATTCTAGCGGGAAAAAGGCTGCATCCGCATAAAATGTTGTAAAAATAACAGGGGCAGGAAGCAAGAAACACAATTATGAAGCCCCTACTAAATCATTGCACCTTCCCAATTGGCATCTAGCCTTTTTTCAAAGCTTTCTTTGTTGAATTGGTGGATCAGAGGGATGAAAACAATGGTGAAAAGTTGATATCCTCTTGTAAGATGGATCTGCTTTGGCATTTACCTGGCTTCATAACATGGGGATAAACTATTGGGATGAGTCATCTTATTTAATATATTTTATCACCCATGTGTTTCATAATTCAAAGGGTATCACTGCAAGGAAAATTTGCTTGACTGCCAGTGCCACCAGTTGACATACATGTCAGACACTCCAGCATAATTTTGGTTAAAATCCACATTAATCCAGAACAGAGTTTTCTGGACAGTCATTGTGTGATGTGCACAGAAACTGAGCATTGAATAGGGTCTGGAATGAACTACAAGCAAGGTTTGAGTGACAACACAAACTTCCTTAATTGAGTAAGTTTCTTTTGCATGGTATAATGATGTAAAGCTGGAAATATTATAATTGTATCTAAGATAGCCATGTACCATTAGGGGCTTTTTTAATTGACTCCCAAATACAGAGGACATTGTGTGGACAGCCTGGGGACTGTCTCATGAGGATGTCCCCACCCCCAAGTCTCTGGTCCCTCTAAAGTATGGGAGCTCCTTCTCCCATTCCCACAGTGGTAATGAGAGTTGGTGCCCAAATTATTTTAGTAAAACAATTATAAATACCCTGGAAGGTCTGGAGGTCAATACTCCAGAACTCTCTGGGTGAATGAGAGTTGGGAGGCAAGCCTACACACATATTGATGGCCAGGAGGATTCCTCTCATCCATGGAGAGTGAACTTACTGAGAGTATTCCTCTTGGCTGCTGAGTGTACACTCTCAACAGCCAAGGGAATTTAATCCACTCAGCTGCTGAGTGTACACTCTCAACAGCCAAGGGAATTTAATCCACTCAGCTGCTGAGTGTGTGCAACTCTCAACAAATGGGAGTACTTGTGGTTGCTGAGAGTGTAGAACTTCCTAACTATCAAGAGTGTACATTCTTATGCTCTTGACAGTTGGGAGCATTCCTCTCAAATTTTGACAGTGTACAAGTACTCTCAACAGCTGGGAGGATTCCTCACAGTCACTGAGTTTGTATAAAATTTCAAATGATACTATCAATTTACAGGACATTAATCTCAATCCACCAAGCAATCATTTTTTCCACTTTCCATCCATTTCTGCAATTTCATCTCTCAGCTTTTTAACTAAGTTTGTAAACATATATTTTAGGTGAATAAAAATTCTGTTTCATTTTTGTGGAACTACATATTTGGTGTACAATGGAAATTTACAATAAAGGAGTAACATTTCCCTAGTAAAAAAATCTGCCAATGATTGAAAAAATGGAAGAAGAAGTAATGATTTCAAATTTGATCATACTTTTAATTTGATTTTATAGACTATGTGTAATAAAACTAGGAATCAATTTATGTTGATTTTTTAACATGATTCATCATGTCAAAAGATCTCAAATGGCATCAAGATGACCTCTTGCACCTAGGTAGCAATGCAGGTGCAGGTCCCCCCTCCTGAAATTTCAATCATTCCTGATGCCTACACCCACACCCACTAGGGTACCCTGAGGCAACACTGAGCCAGCTGTGCTAATGGTGGTATTAGTGTGGCAAAGTGTAGCAGAATTCTGCCCTGTCTGCACTAATTCTATGTACACCAGAATGTGTGTGCTATGCTGCACTAACTCGATCACAACCTTCTTGTTTTCTCCTTCCGAGTACTTGAACAGCACCAAGAAATTGAAGCTGTGTTGTATTACACCCCTGACTGACCAGTGACACATTTTTAAAAAAACTCCAAAGTCAACTCCAGAGAACTGAAGTAGGATTCATTTTTTTGGAAATAAAATAAAATCAGTAAGAATTACTGGACCAATTGCATCTAGGGATCATTTATATTTATAAAGGTTTTTTTTCTTCACAAAAGAAACCAGTGATGGATTTTCAATATGTTGCTGATATTGATAACATTAACATCAATGTTATAAATGTGCATTGTGTTGATTTTTGGGCATTAGAATTCAATAAACTGGTCAAATATTAATGTGACTCAATCTTGCATATTCTTTCATATCATTCAACAGTAAGACACATGAAAATCAAAATGAAAAGAGAAATTTGACCAGAAAGGGAACATCTTAACTCTCACAGCTTAACTGGTGGTAATCCAAACCACCCTGTGCCTTCTTTGGCTGTTGGGGTTAATTTTTCCCTTTATTTAGAATTACAGCAACATGTGGATGAAGCCCACAACTCAGTGATTCTGTGCTAAAATGACCATATTTGCATGTGAACTACAAAAAATAATATAAGAGGACCCAAAACGCATCAAAGATACCATAAAAAGAAGCTGAAAATTAAACATATCAAGCAGCATATAAAAACGAGAAAGAGATAATCCAAGAAAACTATGCGATCTCCTTTTTTTCGTGAAACAGATGACTTTCAAAGTGATTCCTTTCTATTCAGATTTCTTTCTGCTAAAAAGTGCTTGGATTTTTTTACCCATTTTGGTGAACATTTCTTTTATTTTAATTTTCCATTTATCACTCCACGATTCGATTCTTCGTTTGAGGGAAGTCATCCCTTCGTCAACAGATTTTCTGAGTTGGTGCATAGTGGATTTGGGGATCTTGTGCCATTCAGCTAGTTTCATTGCGAAATCGCTCCTGAAGACATACGGATTCAAACGACTGTTGTCTTCGGGCTTTCCATCCATGGGGAACACGGTTTTCAGTTTGCCGTCCTCTCCTCTATAAGAAATATCCTTCTTGAAGAGTTTTCTGTCCACTGGTGTCAAATGTATTTCAAGGAGTTCGTCCAGAATGCTGCATCGGGAGGTGACGTGTATCTTACCTCAATGAGACTATGCGGAGAACTGATTTTTTTTTTCTTGAAAGAACGAACACTTACGGTGAGAAGTAATTCTCGACATTGTTTTCCGTGACTTTTTCTACACCCTCCTTCTTGATCGAATCATAGTACAGATGCTTTTCTCTGTTTGTTTCGGAGCTGTGTCAATTCACAAGTCAATCTAACTGAAAGAGATCTGATCACCGGCTTACAGCTTTTCCTGCTCGATGTAGGCACAATAATTCCAAAACAAAGCATATGTGGTAAACCAGTCGTCATCCCCCATCTTTCCAAGACTTGCTTCGTGGTGTCTATCAAGTCACCAAATAAATTTGTAAATGAGGGTATTAACCATCAATTTTTTTCGCTAAACCTTTTGCTCACCCTTCCATCCATTTGACGAAGCGTTTCACCTGGGGACGTTTTTGCTTCATACGTTTATTGAGAAGCGTCTTGAATTCTTTAAATTGCCTATGTTTTCGAATTTTAACATACAAAGCGATTGTCAAAAATGGCCAACCCGAAAATCGAATGCTGAATGCAAGCGATTACTTACATGAAGGCCCTGTTTTAGGAATATATTGCCAAAAGTGACGGTCAAGGATGGAATCGAGGTGAGTCAAGTTCGTCTGACCGTGAAACGCCACGCAGAATGCGTATATATGTATGATAAGCTTACGGGTCGTCAATGTTACTTGGTTCCTTTTGACGCTGCAGAGGATACCTATAATTTAAATTGAAACGAGCACTCGACTTGTCAGCTGAATGATATATGTCGAGATCAGTTCGAAGCTCACATGAGCTGTTCCAGTGTCTGAAAAGCTCTCGTTTTTATCCGATTCTCACGTTCCTGTATTTCATCCAGTAACTTCTTTTCTTTCATGGAATCTTTTCCTGTTTCTTCATCATGACCTTTGCCTTTTTTTGGAGCTGATGGCAGGATCTTACTTTCCATCTCTTCAGAGTGTGCAGATGTGTCTTCAGAGGTTGGGGGAGCTGTAAGACTGTCATGGGCAAAAGGGGATGAAAAGTTTGGATGAAAAAGGAACAATGCCTCTGGTGATTGTTGATGATTTTCTTACGCTAGCGTTTGCCGGTCTTCCAGGAACCGCTGATATTTCATGGCGAGGTCAGCCCCTGAGTAATGTTGCTCATGTGACTGGATTTGGTCTTTGCCATCCGACCTGAGAAAATGAGAAATTTAAGTGAGCACTTGGTTGGGAAAACAGTCAGCGTAAGATAAAAATCAGCTCAACTTTGCGAGATATTCTAAAAAGGCTGGCCTCAAGTCCTCTCTTATACCCTTTGTAAAGTTGTCCAACAAACTGTTGAGAAGATGCACAACGGATATGGAGATCAGCATGGAAGTTCAACTGATGAATGATAGGTGTATCACTTGCAAGTAGTTCACGGCAGTTCCTTCTATCTGCTCGCGTGCAGTTGCTGTCCGGAACTTCTTGTCAGAATCAAAGTCATGTGGGCGGATTCCGTGCTCTTCTATTTCTACTTCGGTGTGAGCACCCTGGGACACGAAATGTAAGTTCTTCTTAGCACTGCTCCCCTCAGGTTGGTTGGTTATCATTTCCAGGGTCATTTTCATGTATCAGTGACAAGTTAACAAAGTCACCGCCTAGCAGCATTCGTGTGAGCCAATCAATCAGCCACTCACTTGAAGTCTCGCTCGACTTCCATTTTGTGGATGATTGTCCGCAAGCCCAATGGGTTGGTCTTAGTAGTTACCGATGATGAGCGACGTATTGAGTCGTCCCTGTGGAGAACGTTGTATGTAGGCTGTTAGTTTCAACCAGTACATAATCAGTAGACTTGCGTAGTGAGCTTCTTACACCACCTCGGATTCGTGTATGAGAAGTGCGTTTCTATGCTCGGGGGGAAGCGCATGCATGAGGTCCAGAGGAACCGTCCTGGAAGTTTTATCATCACATGAAAATAAAAGGTATGTCGATATGAGTCACAATATGTTTTCATGATTGATATTTTGGACAAAAAAAAAGAGCCAGAGAATGAATGCGGTCTTGTATTATTCGTGAAGCACCTTAGAGACTCTGGAACGATGTGGCCTTGAGCAGTCCCTATGCCCAGATCCTTTGCCCTAATGAGGTGATCACACAATGCACACACACATTGTTTCTGGTGAGCGTCAAGATAAGCGGTATATAAATTAAGCAAGCTTTAGCTTACTGTTCCCCACAACCAAATTTCAAGTGACTGTGGTCGTTGAGTTGATGAGACCCCAAGACCAGAGCCTGGGAGTTGTCCAAGCTATCACAAAAGATCATAAAAGATTCAAAAGTTAGTGTTTAGATTAGCGGCTCATAAGTCAAACATGCCTAGGTCACTGTAGCTCACACCTCTACCCCACGCTTACGAATTCTGATTGCAGAAACCCGAGTTCCTGGCAGCTCAGCCAAGATGTAGAACATCGTTCCGCATGCGAGGAAGATCGTCAATTTCTCCAGTGGTTTGCGCATCATGGAGTATTAATTACGAAAACACCAAGGGTTTGTCGATATTGTTGTCCGTTATGATGATTTGGAGAGACTTTGTTATTCGGTGGTGTGAATGCTTAAGTGGTTGGAGGACACTGGGTCTTTTACTCGTCACTAGGGAAGGACGGGAGGTCTGGAGGTCAAAATGTTTCCCGGTGCTCGCAGGTGCCTCATGACAAGAAACGAATGGCTGGTTTCACCATGCTGATTTTATGCCTTCGGACAGTTGGACAAGTTTCAAGTGTTCTCATCGACCGTTTCTCTTACAACACAGAGAGTGCATACACAGACTGATACACCGGTGGACTGATAACTTGGAGCGGCGGCCTTCGCTCGTACAGGCCAAGACAATACATCACTCATGTCATGAATCAGCATTTGTACATATGCATCTTACCCTTGACACAAATCCTCCTGACCAAAACGCGACTTCTTGAAGAGCAACGTGGGGGCCATCACTTCCCTCATCATCGGCCACAGATAGCATGTCGAGTATCAAGAGAGGTAGCTTTGATCTGAGCAAGGTCTGCTGGGGTGTTTTCGTCTTCCGTCTCGACATTGTTTGGATTGTAGAGGCGCAGCAGAGACATAAAACCGCTTGGTTATAGGTGGGTACGAACCGGAAGGTCCATTTTTCCACTCACTTTTCAATGAAAAGATTTACAGCAATTATATTAAACAGATTTTGGATTTTTTTTGTATAAACTTCTTTGATTACATAGTTTTTGAAGGTCATTTTTTATTTTTTTTAACAGGAAGTGAATTTCAAAAAGAAACCAAAAAAGTTAAAACATGATGCTATTATGTATCAACTCAAACAGCCAGTTTATTGCTTATCTGCATTTGAGATTTTGTATCAAGGTCTAGGTTGGAGCACTGTGTATTTTGTACAGCCGTACAGCAGGATACTGCCCATAAGGAATGTAATAGAATCCCATAAGTCATTTTTTATTTGACAAAATAATAATAGAGGGTATCAAATATACATGAAAGTAAGTCAAACAAAAATGAAAAAATTCTCAAAAGGAAATCAAAAGCCGTTTATAATTGCTGTCTTATTTAACTTCATGAAAAACTTTCCTGATCTTTGTTAGAGCTTGATATCAATGAAACAAGTAAATATATACATAATCCTGGAAAAAACTGGTAGTAATAGTTTGACCTGCTGATTGTTTCAACATTTCTATAGCAAAAATATTAGAGATGTTGCTTCATACCCGGGTACCTGTAGCAGGTGCGGGTACCTGCCTCAAAAATTCAATATTTTGGACACTCACACCCGCACCTGCATCCGCCAGGTCTGCCAGGGCAGGTACCGGGTACCTGCGGGTGTGGAGGACTTTTTGCAGGCAAATATACCCAGAAATTTGTCTTGATGACTGGAGGGATTCCTCCAGTTGTCAAGACTGTACACCGTCTCAAAAACTGGAGGGTTCTCTCCAGTGTAGGACACCAGCCGGTGTCCTACATGGGTCTGACACCTTTGTGCAGCCCAACACACCCAAAAAAGGGAGTATTGGACCGCCAATAATAATTTAAATTCTTCAGGGGAAGGGTGTAAGGCAGGTACCCAGGTACCTGCCTTTTTTTACCCCAAATGTTGACACCCGCACCCAATTTGGAAAACAGGTACCTGCTGACATCTCTAAAAAATATGCATGTACAGTCCAGGGTGTACCATTATTTTTGGATTATTCCAGGTACCAATTATAAAAATTTATCAGTTCTCTTTTGATTTTTTTTTTTTTTTTGATTTGTCTTCAAACCCGCTTTTTACTTCATTTGATAAGTAATTATAATGGAAAAAGTAAAAAAAAGCTGGATTGCATTAGGGGGTTGAAAATAGAAATTTATCAAGTCTTTATAGCCAATTTCAAGGTCCCTATCAACAAGATTTTAGAATTTTGAAAAAATAGACAGATTTTGGGGTTTGTGAACAATCAAAACAATAGGGGGTATCAAATATAGGAAATCCACCAATGGAAACCAGTCACTTTTCCAAAAACTTTTTTTTGCATCCAATGGGCCCCAAAATGGTTTAAATGCATATCCGCCATTGAGTGTTGTACCCTCTCAGCAACCAAGAAAAATCCCTCTTGGTCACTGAGACTGAGAGGGTACAACCCTCACCGGCCGGAGGGGATTCCTTTTGGTTGCTGAGAGTGTACAGCTCTCAGTGGCCAAGAGGAAACCTCTCCGGCTGATGAGAGCTGTATGGCTCTTGCCAGCCGAGAGGAATCCCTCTTGGCCGCTGAGATCTTTCCAGGCCTGACTCCCAACCCCGTCTGGGGTTTTTAAAAGATCAACTCCCAAAAACCCCTGGGGGGTTCCCTTTTTTTACTATTATTTTTTGTTTTGTTTGTTATAGGTCCAACTCCCAAAAAAGATGGACCTTTTGGAGTTCCAACTCTCAAGAAATTGGGGAAAAAGAAAATGAGGGGGGGGGGGCATTGAGAGGACTTTCCGCAGTGGGTCCTCAGGACGTCCCCAAAATTTGGGAGTCAGAACTCCAAATTTTGGCAGTCATTTAACTAAGGCCCTTTTTTTAACGTAACTTCCCAGCACATTGGATAACAATGTGAGCGTTATCCAGAATGCTATGTTTTTTTTTACCTGTCAGTAACATAACAAGAGGGATTTTACCCCTTGTTAAAGGAAAAAAACAACACAAACAGCAGGTTATCCACGTTGTGTGAGGGTAAACCCCCTTGTTATGTGTTTGTTATCCACACTTAATCATGGTGGATTGTGTAACAACAATAGAAAAAGGGGAAAAAAGAAAACATGACAGAAAGGCTTTTGTGGTTATTGTAACGCTAAGAGCATATCCACCGGGGGAGGTAAAACTGGGTTGCTACAACCCCAAAGTAGCAACTCAGATTTTACATGTAGCAACCCGCCCACATTTTCTGCCCACCCATGGTTGCTGAATCTTCAAACTTCAACCTGTGACTCTTCAGTTCCCAATATCCTGCCCTCCTTCCATCCATTCCCCCGAACGCAATCAATCATCTCTAATGCTCGAAGGTAACAAAAACCAGGAACCTCGGTTGTTTTTGCATGTATTGCTCTTTTCCATTCTTGTATGCATTGTTTCTCATTTGCACAGCTTTGTCTGTTATTCAAAAAAACAAAAAAATATATATGTGTTTGTGTTTGATTGGGTGAAAAGATGTACATAGATAGAACAAAGATGAAACTACAAAATTGAATCAAGTTTTACAGGAGTGGATGTTGGTGAGTGATATCGATCTTGTTGAGATGAATCTGGGGAAGGAGTGAAAAGTGTTGACTCGTTGGATTGTCGTTCACAAGAAAAATACCATGTCTGTCATGGATGTTTTGTTGTTCACAGGTGCTATCAAGTTGCTAGACGGTTGCTACATGTAGCAACTCAACATGGTTTTTTACCTCCGGAGGTAAACTTTTTTCTGGTTTAGCACCCTGGGTGGGTGGCATTTTTTGGGTTTGGGTTACTAAACGCGGGATAACAACCTGGTTTAGCTCCCGCGGTGGATATGCTCTAACAGCCACAATTCCATTACATTTTTGCTATGCTACCATTACGGGTAGTGTAACCTCCCGCTGTTGATTGCAATTATAAACGCCGAAGGGAAAATTACACAAATGCTTGTCACAGAAATAATGCTCTTGACACCTAGATGCAGCCTCCTTCTCAGAAAGACTCATCACCCATTCTTGCCTCCTCCCGCTGAATTTTGGCCCTGTAGTGGTCTGTAGCAAAAATCTGCCAGCAATTGTGCTCACAATACACAATTTCAACTCCCCCAAAGAATCTGCTACACAAACAAATTTTGCTAGAAAAGTGCAGTGTAGCTTAGCAGCCCACCATTAGGAGAACCTAATCACTGAGTAAGATTCTTACCCAAAAGGGGGGGGGGGGTTATCCCTACTCAATGATCCCCAGGGTAGTGAGCTGAACCGGTAATGAAAATTAGACCTGGAGCCCAACTTGCTTGACTTCTTCTTTAGGCAAACTCGGCATTTCTTTGAAGCCAACATTTCAGTTTCTGCGCCCAGCCCCTCCTTGTAAAATAAGTCCTATGACAATGGAGGCAAAGATTGGTTCAGTGAATCAATTGCGGCTTTATTATGACTTGTTTGGAGATGACTCGTTGGAGAAATATGAAAATATGTCATCCCCCATATTGGTACATGAAATTCGGGAAAAATATTGTTCGAAATTAGTTTGATAAAGTAAAACTTTCAGTCCTGGTGAATTTCAATTGATCAAGTGGCCAGCAGTGAAAATTTCTTCGCTCCTGGTCGCACATGTACGGCCAAGTAGGTCACGAAAGTAACTCTTTTCCTGTCTCCCAAAGAAATGCGACACTTCGCTATTCCATACGAAAAGTGCAAGCAGTAATACAGTGTTTTTAATTTTCTATAAAAATCAATTTTTGAAATCGCTTAAACCGATAAATTGTCCATGCCTCGAGGGTGAACCTATGGCAAGGACATGCAAGCAAAAACAAAAATTATTCAATTTCAGGGCTGCTCAGATTACCCGAATCTTCCATTCAATTTCAAGACCCGAAACGCACCCAAACAGGTAACCAAACGTAAATATCCAAGCTGTGGCCACCAAGGCCATGATGTAGTGATTGTCAATGTATCGACCAGGGATTCCAAGAGCAAGTCGAAAATCCTGTAAATTCGTCGGGGTCGGTTCAAACTTTGTGTTCGAATTGCTAAGCAGCGTGACCAGAAAGGAAAAGACGGCGCAAACTGCGAAAAACTGGCCCTCCATAATCAGTTTGATCATCGCTCGGCTCTTCTGAAGAAAGCATTCGTGTTTGGAAGGGTTCGGATGGTGCCATCTTAGTGACAAAAAAACGGCCAGGAATAGCTACAACGAAAGCAGGGTCAACATTATAACCTTTACAGAAGATTACCCCCCCAGTTCGACTGATTTCACAAATAGAGAGTAACATTGAGTGAATTGTCTTACGGTGTTCACAATAAGGCTTGCGCTCATTACTAGACTCGTCCGCGTAAGGTTTAGGAGCGCTTTTGACTCAAGCTGGATACCGGAAGTCGCACGAGATACACGATTTCGATCATTTCCGAGGAGTTGGTTTGCTTTAAATCCTAGTGCACAAACTGCCAGTCCGGCAGTCAAGGTGAGTAAGCAAATAGTTGTCCTCAACCTGTTGGGGCAGAAGGTAGATAAGCAAGTCAACACCGATAGTCAATTGCAAGAGAATACTGTATGTATTCTATTTTTTTTCCCTGACACATCCAAGGTTCAAGCTTTCAATTGAGAAAAGTACCTACTTCAGTAGATAGTCAAGCCCAGTGCGCGTGTCGCTTGCTATGTTCTTCTCCATCTTTCACCAAAGTTTTTCACTGTCGCGGTTGAGAACTTCAAATTTACTTCAAGAAAAATTGGGAACAGAGGGGGGAATTGGTCAAAACTAGTTCATGCGTGGGCTGGGACTGCCGTTTAGTTTGTCCAAACTCACCAACACAGTTTCTGGGCAATTCTACAGTAATTTAAGTTTTGCAGCATGAGCTTATGTACATAAAATCGCCGTGGACCTTGAGATTGTCGGTCGCGCCTCATGTCGTGCGCCGTGGGACTGAATGAGGTGACTCACAAAGGCTAAACTCAGACCATCTCCACCGCGCGAGTGCATAATCATGTGTACGATGCAATGTGAGTGCCTACACGGCGGGGCAAGTTTGAAATTCTGGATACCGCTCGGAGGACGGTTTACCTTTGGAGCGCTCTTCTGACCATAAAGAACGCCGCAATGACGATGTAGGACTGAAGCGCTCGCATAACGCTAATCGGTGCGACCCGGTGACTCTTGGGTCCCGAGGGCGGCAAGTTGACGCTTGCAAAGTCGTTCCGGCGTCGACTGGGTCTCGGGGACGCTCTACAGTGGCGCAACCCATCCTACTGTACATGGATTTTGGGGTTCCGAAATGTTTGAAGGAAAAAAATCAAGAAAATCTGCCCTGGGAAGGGCAGGATCCAAGGAAAATTTAGGTTTTGGGGCTTGGAAATTTCAAAAATTGTGCAATTTTTGCCACTTGTTTGGAAAAAATTACATCCCAGAGTCGAATTACCATGTTTGGCAGCAACAAAAATGAAATTTAGGTTATAGTTTATGCACATATCTTTGGTGGGAGAAGCCATACTTATGTGTTATCAGAGTTAAGTACATGAATATGAGACTGTAGGGGCATTTAAGCGCATGGATTCCGAAATGTTGACCCCAAATAAAAAAAACTTTTTTGTTGGAGCAGTGGGGGCTTAGCCCTTTTATTTATGGAAACTACTGCCCTCAAAAAGCCCAAATCTACAATAAAAATGGGTGATGGACCCCAAGTGCCTACAAACATTAGGCCGACAGGCCAAAAAAAAATTTGCTGGTGATGGTGTACAGTAACATGGGTTGCGCCACTGTACAACGATCATTTTTTTTTCTTCCCAAAAATATGTGTAGAGGTTAGTGTTTCCTTGGAACGACTGGCTGAACAACTCTCTCCAGAAAAAAAAAAAAAAAAAAAAAACTTCAAAAAAAAAAAGTTGCAACCAAATTACTACAGCTATTTCGGAAAGGGTTGTCCACTTGGACTCGCGAAATCTTTTTTATTTTTTTATTTTTTTTATTTTTTATTTTTTTACTGAACTGGACCTGTCAGAACTGAACTAGCGATGACAGCTGTACCTCCTCGGCTGTAGTTCAGTACAAAGAAAAATTTAAAAATTTTCAAAAAAAAAAAAAAAATTGCGAGAGACAACTGGACAACCCTTTCCGAAATAGCTGTAGCACAAATGACCAGATTGAATCGTTATTAGGGTTTGGGGTAAACTGTCAAAATGATTGGCGGTCCAGCGGTGGATCAATTCGATCCTCTTCAGGTCGCTTTTGGGCCCCTCGTGTCCGCGTTCATTGGCTCGTAGGTTCAGGTACAAGTTCGAGCCTTGTGCAAGCAACTCTTTTTTTGCTTGGCCGGCTAAGCTGCGCCTGCTTGAGGCAGCGTCACCGTGAGGAGTGTCCCGGTGACTCACCACTGCGACCTGGAAGGACGCCCTTGCAGCGCCGACTCAATGATCCCCTGATGCCGCAGGGTCGATCAGCGGAGCGATCCTGCAAAACTGCGCCCTCACAGCGCCCTTCCCTTGCTCAGTCACCGGAGCGTCCAGGACTACGCCCTACGGGGTCCTGTTGACGCTCTCCTCGCCCGGCCGTGTACTCATTCATTACGTCGCTGGGGGAGACTCGAGCGCAGGCAAATAACGGGTCTGAAACCGGTCCAGGTGCGGGGTGAGCCCTCAGTTTTATTTTAGTTTGTGACTCACCAGTTTTCTCAAGTTGTGGTTTTAAGAAACCTCAACATGAAAAGCCTCTCCTGTGTGAGGGTGCGGGGGGGGGGGGGGGTTCTTTCTAATTTGTCTAATGCGAGGAGGCAAGCCGTGACACTCTATGGTGATCAACGGTATGGCGGTTAGCTACCCCAACGTCCGGTTTCG